CCTGTGTTGAATCAGTAGGTCGGAAACACCAGCGACCTGCCAAACTGCATGAGCCCCGAGATTTCAATGACTTGGTAGGAATAGACGGATTTTATTGGTCTGGTTCCAAAGGTTTTCGTGTCCATGTTTTTCACTGCATTGATGAGTCATCACTGTTTCATCTTGGCAGGCGTTGTGAGACCCGAAATACTGATCAAGTAATTGATACTTGGTCCAACTTTTGGACATCGTGGGCAGGTGATCCCGACCAAGTCTACACCGATCCTGCCGGAGAATTCATCTCTGACAAGTGGAAAGAACTGATGACTTCAAAGTCCATTCAACTGTTGATTGCAACTGAAGCTTGGCAGCGAGGACGTGTAGAGAGACATGGCCAGATCATCAAGCGGATGCTCACGCGTTGTGACCTTGAAAATCCCATTGGAAATTTGCAGGATTTTGACCGAACACTGTTGGCGTGCTTCCAAGCGAAGAATTCACTCATGCGTCAAAAGGGATTCTCACCAGAACAGATTGTCCTTGGAAAAGCCCGAAAGATCCCTGCTAGCCTATCCTCAGATGAAAATGCAGTAGCACATGATCTTGCTTTAGGAGATGACCCAGAGAGTGAATCGTTTCGAAAAACCTTGGAAGTCCGCACTCTGGCCAAAAAGGCTTTTCTGATCACCGACAATGACCAGGCCATTCGACGAGCCTTGCTGCGCAGATCCTGTCCTGTCCGAGGTCCTTTTGAACCTGGACAATTAGTCATGTACTGGGTCAAACGTCCCAAAGCCAGTCGACAAGAAGCAGGACGATGGCATGGACCTGCCAAAGTCATTGTACAGGAGAGCCAGACAGCCGTTTGGCTATCTCATGCCGAGCGACTTTTCAAATGCGCACCAGAGAGCATTCGCCCCGCATCCCTGAGGGAATGGAACACCCACAGTGATAAAGCTCAATCCTGGATTCCAGAAACCAACCCTCAAACCCCAAATCTTGCACTGCCCAATAGCCCTGACAATGTCACGGACTATGAACCAAGTCTTGCGCCTGAACCTGTCGTTGTCATTCCCCAGAGTTCCAGTACACCACATTCTTCAATACAACCAGAAAGTGAATTGTTCCCAGAACCTAACCAAGACCTTTCACATGAGAATTCTGAAATTCCCGAGGTCCCACCGAATCCACCTGAAATGATTGACCTGGATGCAGAGCCCGATGCTGTTGATGCCGCACTTTCCATGATGGACGCATTGCCCATCCTTCATTGCCATTCACTGACTTCTGAAGTCAATTGTGAATCGCTCTATGAAGTGACCATGTTAGAACCTGGAGAGGCGACCGACTCTCCTAGTGATCAGATTCTCCTTGCTGAAGATGACATGCCAATGATCCAACAACCTCTTGAATGTGAAGAACAACAGTGTTTTGTGTTGTCCGTTGACATCAGTGATCAGGATGTTCTGAAATGGTCAGCTTCAGCAAAACCCGAAGAAATGGTATGGGTGGCCAATGTGTGCAAGAGGGCCCGTGCTGAGGTGAGTGTCAAGAACCTTAGCTTGGAAGAAAAGATCCTGTTTGAAAAGGCAAAAGATGCAGAACTCAATTGCTGGATTCAAACTAGTGCCTTAAAACCCATACTTCGAAGGAAATTAAACCCTGAGCAAATTCTCCGAAGTCGCTGGATTTTAACATGGAAAGCTATCAATGAAGAAGACAACACCAAACCCCAGCGAAAAGCGAAAGCTCGATTAGTGGTTTTAGGCTTCCAAGATCCCAAACTGTGCGAAGTTGCACGTGATTCACCAACTCTGACTCGAGAAGGACGAAACACCGTTCTGCAGACAATTGCCAGCCAAAAATGGGATTTGTCATCCTTTGACATTAAGACAGCCTTCTTGCGTGGACAGTCTGATAAAGACAATCCACTGGCCATGGAGCCTCCACCGGAGTTACGTCAGAAACTAGGCCTCACTACCGATCAAGTTTGTGCGTTGGTTGGGAATGCCTATGGAAGAGTTGATGCTCCATTGTTATTCTACAAGGAATTTTCCAAACAACTTGACAAACTCCACTTCACGAGACATCCACTTGAACCCTGTATCTATCTACTTGAAACTACACAAGGTAACCAACGTACCCTGCATGGCATCATTGGTACCCATGTGGATGATGGAGTGTGTGGTGGTGACTCTTACTTTTATGCCCAATTGGATGCCTTGAAGAAGGTCTTGCCATTTGGATCATTTAAGCAGCGTAAATTTGTATTTACCGGGATTCACCTTGAGCAACTGCCTGACTTCAGTATCATGGCCTCACAAGAGGAATATGTGAGGAACATTCCTGCCATTGATGTTGGAAAATCCCGTCGAGCCACACCGGATGCCTTCATCAATGACATTGAGTTGAACAAACTCCGTGGTTTAATTGGAAGTCTTCAATATGCAGTGTCTCATACCCGACCTGATATTGCTGCAAAGCTTGGCGAAGTCCAGGTTTCTGTTTCCAAGGCCACGGTCCAGACTCTTCTATTGGCAAACAAAGTTTTGAGAGAGGCTCAAGAGCATGGTCATGTGAAGATATGCTTTAGAAGCATTCCAGTGGATCAACTGACTCATGTAAGTTTTGGAGATGCCTCGTTTGCAAGTGCAAAACAACTGTCTTCCTTTCAGGGAACCTTAATCTGCGCCACGAATCATGAACTGGATCTTAACAAGAAAGCTCCAATCAGTCCTTTGACCTGGACCTCCAAGAAGATTTCACGTGTGGTTCGCTCGACATTGTCAGCAGAAGCATATTCAATGTCAGCAAGCGTAGATCGTTTAGGCTGGATGCGACTTTTATGGGGAACCATTCACATTGCTCAGTTTGACTGGCGTGATCCTCTCCGTGGATTTAAATCACTTCCTAAAGCAACTATTGTCACAGATTGCAAAAGTTTGTTTGATTTGGTTAGCCGAACCGCTATGCCATCTTGCGAAGAGTTTAGGACTACCCTTGAAGTCTTGCTCATCAAAGAAAGGTGTCAGGAGCATTGCCATTTCAGGTGGATTCCGACGTCATTGCAGGTGGCTGATGCATTAACCAAACCTATGGACCCAATTCTTCTGAGACAAGTGTTATCCTCTGGTTGCTTTCAACTGTTCGATGAAAATGAATCCTTGGAGCGTAACGCTCATCGTAAGCAAGCTGTTCAATAGATCCGAGAACAACAGAATGGAGCCTTCAATAAGTCGAAAGTCACATCAAAAGAATTTTAGAGGAGTGTGAACTTTCATGCATGTATCCATGCCTGCCTTGATGTGACTTGCCTTGCATGTGCAGAGAAACCTTTCTTGCCGGTCCCATGACTGCCCAAGCACCAGTGGAGGGTTGTGGTTGCGGCATTAGGTGTTGGACACCTTGCGGTGCGGATTTGCCATAGTGTTTCGGGGAAACATTGCGGTGCGGCTGCGGTTGGAGTGTGGCAGGGACCCACTACTTTGTCTGGTTGAATAGTACATAGAAGGTTGGACCATCTATCCATTTGATTCCTTGCAATTTGGGAAATTGCCAGCTACCAGGGTGATTTGGTTCCACGCCAATCACAGAATTTTAGAGGAGTGTGAACATTTCATGCATGGTATCCATGCCTGCCTTGATGTGACTTGCCTTGCATGTGCAGAGAAACCTTTCTTGCCGGTCCCATGACTGCCCAAGCACCAGTGGAGGGTTGTGGTTGCGGCATTAGGTGTTGGACACCTTGCGGTGCGGATTTGCCATAGTGTTTCGGGGAAACATTGCGGTGCGGCTGCGGTTGGAGTGTGGCAGGGACCCACTACTTTGTCTGGTTGAATATTACATAGAAGGTTGGACCATCTATCCATTTGATTCCTTGCAATTTGGGAAATTGCCAGCTACCAGGGTGACTTGGCTCCTCGCCAATCACAATGCCAAATATATATATATATAGCAACTCTCAAGTTAGAACAGCAAAATCTTGCCAAATCATGATAACTCACTGTTCAACATCTTTTTGGGTGTCCGAGCTATTTATTTCCACCAGCATGGCTCAAGAGATGTGACCATCAGCAAGGGCTTGAGATCAAACATAGCTCTGGGTAATGGCCCATTTATGGATGATTTACCCCGAGGCCACCGGTACCATGGCATTTCTTATTGGGGAGGGTGAGATACACCAGAGATATGGGCAAGTAGATGGCATTAAACACTACCCTCGTGTAATTTGTGACATAGCTATTGAAAATACCCCATTTATCCATGGCAATATATCCAAATATCCATTCTATTGGTAATATAACCATAGTAAATTAGATACCCTCTTGCCCATTTATAGTTAGTTGACCTATTCAAAATGGTGGATCTTTCCACTTTGCTTTTTGTATGTTTACCAGGTAAAAATCGGGTCTCTCACTGGAGCTGGTTATTCGGTGACGGTGAAAAGTCTCTTTTTTTTGAACCAAGAAAGTGTGGGAAAATTTATAGTGAATGTGACTTCATGAGAGATGGTTTTTTGGAGGAGAAAATCGGAGAAAACATCAGGTTCTTCATTTTTATTCTCATAGCCTCTGATCATCAAACATGGCTTTCTGGAAAATTCCCTGTCGATGATCTTCCCGTTGTTCGCCAGGGCTTGGCCCAAATTGACATCAGCAACTTCCCAAGGGGAACATCCCCAACAAAATGATGTTGGTTGGTTATATCACCAAAAAAAAACGATAACATCACCATGAATCCCTGTAAATCATCATAAACTCACTGCCAGTTCACATTAAAATTGCCATAAATCATGATAAAATCAGCACCAGTCTCTATAAATTCCAATATGTTAGCGGTTCCCCTCTGGTAATTTGTTACATAGCTATTGAAAATGGCCATTGATAGTGAGTTTTCCCATTTAAAATGGTGATTTTCCGTCGTTTTTTGTATGTTTACCAGTGGTTAAACCCATATCTGTGTTGCCTCAATTTGCCTCGGCTGGGTCATCCTGTTGCTGGTTCAAGATTTCACCAAGTGGCCAGGGCTACAAAGCACTGCTGCTGTCCATCAGTCAAGCGGACGGCAAAGTGCCCCAAGTCTGCATTGCCTTAGCAAAAGGACAGAAAGAGAGAGAGAGAGAGAGATGGATGGATTGACTGATTGTCTGAGTCATTGATTTGGGGATGGGTCAAAATCTAAGCCCTATGGGACCACAGATTTAGTATATGATTACTATTAAGCATCTAATTGTTTGGGTACCCAATTTTGACCTGTACCCATTTGATTCATTGATCTATTGATCCATGGATCGATTGATCCATTATATCTTCAGTGGCGAAAATCAAACCGAAATTTCCTGGCGAAATCATCCGTATTTCCAATGCCAAATGGCTCACCACCCCACTCATATGCCATTTATACCATCAGTGGGGTGTAAGCCAAACATATCATATAAACCATGAATATCATATGCTTTCTGAATATGCCAATCACTATGGTATTTTTTGGGATTACACCCCATTTACATAGATATATATATATATCCCATTATACCATATTTAAAAAAAAAAAAACATCACATTTAAGCGCCAGACTGGCGATCCCATCCCCTTCCACCATCTGTTTTTTTTGTTTTTCGGGGTGTGAAAAATATCGGTTTGGGGATGATGATCATTTTGGTTGGGATGATGTTCACCATGAAATCCAAAACCCCACGGGTTTTTCAGCGAAATATCAACTGGAAGGGATTACAAACCTGCCATAATTAGAATAGTTGATTAATGGTTTCCCAAACCTGCCATATTTTTTATATTCGGGGCAAATGACAAGAATTCACAAAGCTGCCATTCTGGGCCCAGAAAATGCGAGAGTTACCATCATTCCAATCATTCCAGGGCTCGGTCGCGACGCGAGGTGGTTTTTGTAAGCCCAGATTACTATATACTCATAATGATGATAGTTACAAGAGTTATTATAGCATAATGTCAATAGAAGTGGTGATACATATTATCTATAGTTACAAAAAAACAACTACAAAAACATCTATCAATAGCTATTACAGTATATCTATAGTTACATGAAAATCATCAAATGACAATAGATGGATCCACTTCAGATTCTCCAGCGATTCCGCACGCATTTCGTCGCAAGGAACTGTCTTGCGACGACCATCGAGCACTGATGGGCAGCCCACGACATGCCTTTCCATCTCGCAGGTTTCATGGTCAAAATCCTAGAGTTTGATGCTGAAATCTTCAGTGATTCATGGGGATCAGTGGTAAACTGGCTAAAATCGATTGAATCTATTGGCCGAAAAAATGGCAATAAACCCAATTTTCCTTGGCTTTTGAAGCATCCTTGATCCCACCTAGGTGGTGGCCTTCATAAAATCCTCCCACGACGTTTCCCTAGGAAAATGATCGACAAATTCATGGTGGGTTTTCAAGCCTTCCACCATCAATTCGTATGTAAAAACATGAGGTATCCTCCAGTAAATTAACATAGACCCTGGTAGATAGAGGTTGGAAGATTAGTTTCCTCTAAAAAATGGTGATTTTCAGGGTCCAACTGTTAATTTACCAGAGGGTAACAATGAGATGTTGAGGTACCCGATTTTCTCACAAGCCCAATGGCGATGGTGTTTTTTTGTTTGGTGTTCTACTTGGATGATCAGCTGGATGTGCATTACTGTAGTCATCGTGAACACCCCAATGGTTTAGCCCACTGAAAAAATATCGGATAAAAACCATTCATTTGGGATGTGATATTAGAGGGATCACTAGATACCCCGAGGTTTTAGAATGCATATACATACTTAAGCAAGGTTTTTTCCCTTCCAAGAAGGTTTTCCTTGCCAGCGCTCTATAGTTGAGTCATAGGTATCAATTCTTGAAGCGACGGCTATGTACATGTATATGTATATATATATATATATATAGAGAGAGAGAGAGAGACATAGATATATAGATATAGATATATTACCCTAATATTCATATATTCATGTACAGTGATAATTGTCTAGTACCCCTATCTCATCTCATTATACTAGGTGCTTGATAGGTATCCAAAAGATAGGCTATCATACTCCCCAATGACCAGGTAGTACAACTCCTTACAATAACCAATCAAATGTGATTAATTATTTAGTAACAATAATAGTGATAATCCAATCAGAATCATGATGATGATCTGATTATAATTATCGCCATTGTCATCATGATTATTATGATCTGTCTTAAATGATCATCATATTCTGACTATCACTATTGTTTAATCATTATCATTACCACTATTATTCTCAATAAATACATCAGTTCACATGACTATCATGGGGTTATGATCATCACATGGAAGTTTCTTTAAAAAAAATGAGGGATTTGATGGGATAAAATCCCAAGCTTCGTGGGTGTCAATACTAAAATGGCCTAGCGACTTGGATGATTTGGAAGTATCCCTATTGTATCACTATTATCATCATCATTATTACTATCACTAGTGACACGTTCATAATTATTACACTTATCACCAGTAAACATATATAATTTATCATCACTGTTGAACACTATTATCACTATTATATATATATATCCATTGTAATCATATTAACACCATTATCATTATCATATATATATATATCACCATTATACAGTATACATATTTAATCACCATGATTACCCTCTGGTAAACTAACATAGCTATGGAAAATCACCATTTTTTAATGGGAAAATCCACTATAAATGGTCATTTTCAATAGCTATGTTAAATTACCAGAGGGTAGATCACTAGTGTCTATGGAAAAATCTGCTGACGTCACCGACACCCCGCCTGTCGAAAGTTCACCAAGCCGCCCACCCCTTCCCAGCGATGCTCGCAGACCTGAGCGCTGCGCCCGCGGGCGCCAACGCAACGAGAGAAACAGGTGGCTTTGTTTTGGAGGAAAAAAGGGGGTGGATGTTAATCAGATTTCAGAAAAATGGTGGATTTAAGATGATTTAAGATTTAAGCATATCTTAGGAAGAAAGATCTTGTTTTAACGATGTTTTAGGGGGAGAAAGAGTGGAATTTATCATGTTTTAATCACAGAACAAAGCTCGCCAGCTCAGGAATTCAAGGTCACCCACTGCAATTTTCCACCAAAAGATGTGGAAAACCATGGGAAAAACCCCGGAAACCCAATCGGAATATCACAGATCAATGTAGAAAACCGTGTTGGAAGTTGGAAGACAATCGGGGAAAAACCTCTCTTTTTCACATCATTTTTGGAATTGCAGGAGGGTATCCGCTATGAACTTTGAGTTTTGGGGCGAACATTCCCGATTTTGATGGGGGGTTCCTCTGAAACAGTACCGTTGACTGGTTTTCCTTCAGATGTTTCCAGAAAACCCTTATGAATTCCCATAATTGGGTGGATTTACCATAGGAAAATACACAAATCACCTGCGCAGCATATCCAATTTCAGGTGTTTGTTGGTTCTATCCCATGAAAAAGTCCATGAAATCCCATGGTGGATCCCATTTTTATCCGCCATGTCTCCACCATGAAACCCAGTCTCATAGTCATCCCAGAAATGACGAGACACATAGCCTTCGTACGTTTTCTCCTTGCCGTCTGGGCAGATATTGGAATGGAATCATTTGCGGGAAAATGTGCCGGAAAACGCGCCAGTGTTTACCATAAAGCCTCCATTTATGAGGCAAATCTCCCATTTATAGATGATTTTCCCAGCTATAAACCTCCTTAAAGGGGATTTCCCAGCTAGCGGGTATGTGTAAAAATCTAGGTACAGTACCCTGGACAGTCGAAGTCAAATAGTTGGTGCTTATGATTCATCCCTGCACGCGATCCACCATGTCCCCACAGCATAAAACATGTTTTTTTGCTGGCTGGTACTTCTGGGTGGATGTTGAATTCCTTCATTTGCTCAAAATTATCTCATTTCACCCATCCTACTTCAATGATTCAAGGTTTTGCCCAACAAAAATCCACCAAAATCCACCATGTTTCCATGGGGAAAGTCCCATGGTTTTTGACGCCCCATGGCGTCATGGCCCTATGGCGTCCCCGGCGTCCTGCTCCGACAAGGGGGACTGAGTCGGTGTCGGCATACACCTGCCACTGGAGGTTGGGATGACTGGGTTAGATTCCCCCAATTGGATGGTGAAAAAAATGAATGAGATTTCGATGGTCATCATGAACATGGAGTCGTACTGCTGGGTATGGGTCACATTTAAACATAGAAAAAACGTATTCAAAATCTGGGGTACCATCCAATGATTGGAGTACCCAATGACTTGACCCATAGCCATGTGGATTTTCTGACAAAAAAACCACATGTGCGGACACTTTTGGGACACGAATGGTAAGGGAATGGGATTTCTATGGTGATTTAATGGTGATTTAATGGTTTTATATAATGGTGATTTATATATTAAATCGTATTAAATCCCATAAATCACCATTAAAATCCCATCTCTAAATCGCGATATATTTGGTCCAAAAACCCCCGATCCTGGCCGTGGGATGGGATTCGAGTGAAATATTTGTTGCATAGCCAACTGGAAAGATCCACCATGGCTATTCAGTTCGGTAAACCATGTATTTATTTCACGATTAGGGCCATGTTCCATGGCGAACTGTTAGTCATAACCAGAGGGTATCAAATGGGGGATTCTTCTGGTCCGCCCAGCTAGAAACCTCGGCCCTGCAAGACCTTTTGGGAGGCTCTAAGAGGACACCTCCATCGAAAAAAAAACTCAAGAATTCAATCAACACATACAAACGGCTAAAAACCTTGCAGATGATATGGCAATGCTCAACGGCCAGCCAATTCTCCATCCAATTCTTCTCGGTCGTTGAACATCAGGAAGACTTTGAACCCCATCCCCCTAACATGACTGGGCCCCCCATGACTGGGCCCCCCATGACTGGGCCCCAAAAACGCAACAAGTCCAGTAGTACTAAACTAGTGACTTTATAGAGATGTACTTAAAATGCAAAGAGATAGATTTGCCCCAACATTCATGGAACTGTTTCCAATAAATGGAAGGGGTATACTGTCCTATTCTGGATCTATGGTGTGAAGCTGGTGTGAAGCTGAAGCGACGTCACAACTGTCGCAAAAATCTCCAGATCTTCTGCCAGAACCAAAGCTGAAGATTTGACAAGCTGGTTGGTGGTTTTAACCATCTTGAAAAATATGAGTGCGTCACTTGGGATGATGACATTCCCATATCTTATGGAAAAATAAAAGTCATGTTTGAAACCACCAACCAGCAACTACAAACGAGTGTTCTCAAGAACCTTGAGTGAGTCTTGTCGCCATGTTCAACAGCAGAACAGCGGCAAAATCATTGACAGTGATTTTACAAGAACGTAGCGGAAAACTATCCATTTATAGATGTTTTTTCCCATTAAAACCTCCATTTATCATGGATGTTCCATGGCTACGTTAAATAACCAGAGGGTATATAATGAGGATAAAATGCAGTGAGTAGTTGAGCACTCTGATGAAAATACCAATTGGCAGATTCTGAGGATTGAAACCTACTGGTCATATAATACTGGTTATACCATAGCCATATTACAATATTCCATAGGCCTAGTTATATATTACATATTTATGAACTCCTGGTTATACATATGTATATATTATGGCTATGAGTCAAGTTACCTTGTACCCCTTTTAAGTTCACCTCAAAATAGTTGGTACTGTAAATAGATGTTCCTCCCACCTAAAATTGATAGCTTTTGACCCATCCCCATATAGGAAACCCTGCCAAGCCAAGCCAAGGGTGGCTGCTTCCATGCTCCTAGGGCCTTTTTCATCGTTTTCGGGATTTTCGGGATGAAATATGATCTTAAGCAATAAGAACACGAACGACATTGGAAAATACTAATCTTCTCATACTGTCCCAGATTTTTTCTGACTCATCGCCAAAAAAAATTATGAGTTTGCCTGTGTTTGTTCCCAAACAAATTGGGTGTACCACAAATCAAATTTTGGATGGGTCGGATATGGGTTTGTGTGAAATACCCAGTTCCACTGCATGGTTGAAATCACGTTCTCGTGTTGAAACTCCGGAAAAATTGTGTGTCAATTCTCAATTTCGGGCAACACCATGAGATATCCAAAAAAAATGATCCATTCAAAACCATTTTGTGCTTAATTATGATAACATTTGGGCTGAAAATAAGGTACCCTTCAATCCCGTTTTACATCATCAATTTTCCCTATGAACTGGCAATTTTATGGGTATACGCCATTTTCGGACACCCCCATGTTAGCATTACAAAAGGAACATGTACATTTTATGACCCGGCCATCGAAGGTTTCGATGGCGGCAACGCCCGCTTCATGTGCCCTCGCCTAGGTTCTTCGTCTTCAAAGAGGTACACGGGATACGGTTGGCACCTCGATCATGGTGAAAACATGTGAAAACCCAGATGTTTTTGTTGTTCCTGTTGTTCCTGTTGTTCCGGTTGTTCCTGTTGTTCCTGTTGTTCCTGTTCCTGTTGTTCCTGTTGTTGTGTCTTGTTGTTGTGTCTTGTTGTTGTTGTGTCTTGTTGTGGGTGTGTCTTGTTGTTGTGTGTGTGTGTATCTTGTTGTTGTTGTTGTTGTGGTGGTGGTGGTGGTGGTGGTGGTGTCTTGTTGTTGTTGTTGTTGTGTCCCGTTGTTGTTGTGTCTTGTTGTTGTTGTTGTTGTTGTTCCTGTTGTTGCTGTTGTGTCTAGTTGTTGTTGTTCCTGTTGTTGCTGTTGTTCCTGTTGTTGCTGTTGTTGCTGTTGTTGCTGTTGTTGCTGTTGTTGCTGCTGTTGTTGTTGATCAACATCATCAACATCATCATCATCCTCATCATCCTCATCCTCCTCCTCCTCCTCCTCGTCGTCACTGTTTATTTAAGCCCGTCCCATAAGCTGTCGCATTTTGTGTGCTCCCACTGCGCCCCAAGTTTGGGGGGTAAATCCTAGACATAAGCTGCAACGTTTGGAAGCAAAATCAATCCAAAAACATCTTCAAAAGAAAAACCCAAGTTGTGATCCAATAAAGACATACATTGTACATACATCTTCATCTAAGATCATCTAAGATCCAAAGGTACATCTCCATGTGAAATCCCCATAAATCAGCATAAAATCAGCATAAAATCAGCATAAAATCAGCATAAAATCAGCATAAATCCCCATAAATCAGCATAAAATCAGCATAAATCTCCATAAATCATCCATTAAATCATCCATAAATCATCCTAAATCCCATTAAATCACCATTAAATCACCATTAAATCACCATTAAATCACCATTAAATCACCATTAAATCCCAAGGAATCAGCATCAAATCCGCCAGTTCTCCGTAAAAACCGCAACGCGAGGTGCTGTCCATTGCCGCAGTTCCCGGGAGGACCAGCGTCCATGTTGGTGAAGGTGTAGCCTGCCTTAGCCATGGATGGCTGAATGGAAAACGAGAGCAGGAGGGAAATAAATCTCATAATATCGTAATAGGGATATTATGATATACATATAGTGAACTAACAGTTTGCTATTGAAAATGGCCATAGAAATAGTGGATTTTCCCAGCTAGAAAATGGTGATTTTCTATTGCTATGTTAGTTCACCAGAGGGTATGGGGACTTTATTGGGATAATAACTATCATAATATCAATTAATATATATATATATATATCATATCTTTCTTCCGTTATAAGCTATAGAATAAACGTGAACGGCTGAATGGGATACCATCTGGTTTTACGAACTGTTTGCTATTGAACATGGCCATTTAGTTTTAGTTTGTTAATTTACCCATGAAACATGGTGATTTTCCCATCGTCAAACGTTAGTTTACCGGAGGGTAGAACTAAAGGTTGCTCTTGATGATCTGTCAGCGATGGAATGGCTAAGTTAGTTTACAACGAATGATTCTCCTCTTTTGTTGGAAATGCGTTTCATAGAAAGGACATGAGATCTATACGGATAGTTTGGAATAGCTATAGGCTATAGTTGAGTTACTGCAATTTTGTCTCCAATTTCACTAGGCTTCATGTGGCTGATATTTGTAGTTCATGGATTCATGGGTACTATAAACCAACAAACATACCTGGGGGTCTCACCTTTTTGGAACCATACAGGTTGGGGAATTTCGTGAATTCACAGGCCAATTCGTTGAGACTAATCATGACTGCTTAGTGGTATACCTACCCCATGAAAAACCCCTCTGAAAAATGATGGAGTTAAAGTCAGTTGGGATGATGACATTCCCAATATATATATATATGGAAAAATAAAAGTCATGTTTCAAAGCACCAACCAGGAAACTAAGCACTAATAAGCACTATCATTTGTCGGGTTTGTCTGAGAAGAATACCCCGAAAATCCACCATTCATTACCATGCTGGAATTGTCCCTATTTTCAGACGGACCCAGATTGTCATTGACCTGCAATCGGCCCTGTATCTCCCTTATTTATATCCCTGGAGAACAGTCACATTGCTGGTGAAATGTCCACGGGTGCGCATGTTGTGAAAAATCCTGGCTGCCTCATTTGGATATCCATGTTCTGTCTATTGCTACCCTCTGGTAATTTAACATAGCTATTGAAAATGGCCCTTTATAGTGGATTTTCCCATTAAAAATGGTGATGTTCCATTGCTATGCTAGTTTACCAGAGGGTAGCTTCATTCAATCCGTGATGTGTTTGCTGATATCTTTGATTTTCTTGCTGAAAAATATGTTCATCCTAGATACGTGCAATATCCATCTTAAACAGTATGCCTTGATTTCCTTTACCCTCTGGTAATTTTAACAGTTTGCTAGGGAAAATCATCATGTTCATTCATTTTCAATCAGGTAAATCATCGAACTTTTTCTGGGTCATGGCTTCCATGGACATTCATCTTCCCATGACCCCCTCAATCAAACATGGCTTGCATGGGATATTCCATGATTTTCCCATTAAAAAACATATAAAATATATGGATTGTATGAAAATACCCATAGATATTCTTGCGCAATATTGATTTTCCCATAGATATTCAAGAGATTCTTGGCTTGCATGGGATATTAGCCTCATGGGAAAATCCCTGATACCCCAGGATGAGAAGTCCCAGAAACAAAGAGCCGTACCGCCATGCCGTGGGGCCATGCCTCGCGGACCATGAAACATGGAAAATTGATGGGGATATGATGGGATATACTGATGGAATTTAGGAAGTACAATAGAGAAATATAACGGGGATGGGAATATGAATGGATTATTGGGGATCTACCATAAACGAAAGTTATAGCAGTTTGCTATGGTGGATTTGACCAACAAAACTTCAACAAAAACAGTTGGCCAATCTTAGCCAAGGGCCCCTGAAAATAGCAGGCAAAGTTGGACGAAAACATCCCAGGTTTACCTTACCAACAATTGGCACAAGCCAAAGGAAATTGAACCATGAGATTCAACATGGAACCCCCCACCCCCAAATTGCACATGAAACCACAGATTCAAGGGCTCAAGGTGATTTTCCGCACTTGGGCAACTTGGGTGTCATTAAATATGGGTTCCATGGCTTGAGTTTGGGGAACATGTTCCGCAATCAAAATGGGTGAACACCTTCGCCTACAAAGGGGGATGTGAATCCTCTGCTATCCACATCAACAAGAAAATATCGGAAAAACACCAGGAGATAGCCTGTGATCTAAGCTGCTTAGACAGAAAACCTCCGTTGCAGTGGGTATTCATCATGAAACTATAGCTGGGGAGTTTTCCAGGCCATGAAAAAGCCACGAAGCTACCAGGCTTCTCCAGGCTTCTCTCATCATTTTCCCGATTGAAATTGCCATCGAAATTGGTGGTGCAACAACGGTGACACCAAGTGGGGCAACAGTTCTCCCAGTTTCATTTTGGGACGAATCTGATCGTCCCAGGCTTAACCAGTTCTGAAATAATCCTCCAAGCAGAAGGATTATATACCCTCTGGCAATTTGTTACATAGCTATTGAAAATGGCCATTTATAATGGATTTACCCAGCTAGAAAATGGTGATTTTCCATAGCTATGTTAGTTTACCAGAGGGTATTGCTGGCGACATATTCCCATGATTTCCCATGTTTGTTGCTTAACTATCTTAACTCACCAAAATTCTCCAAAAATCCAGGCCATGGCCACACCCAAAAAATGCTGAGCGTCCAAGAGGAACTTCTGCTGTTGGTGGAACTCCAGGCCGTTTTTGTAGGTCGGCACGAAGCGATCCGCTTCGTAAGTCCTGATCTCTGCGAGACTGCGGCGAGATTTGATGGGACCAGATGCCTGGTGCCCGAAGCCCGAGACGCAACGCTGGGTTTTGAAAAACCGTGTTCGAAGAAAAGGTGCAAAAAATAGGACGAACAAAAATGCTGCAGGGTAACCCATGCGTGTATTGGAGAAAGTGAAAAAAAATTGAACAAATTGGGCAGTCGCTAATTTTAGAAGGACTCTGGGGAACAGACACCGGAACACCGGATTTCCGAGGTTTGGAACACCGTTCTGTTCACGACCTGATTCCATGGATTGGTTCTGTCGGATATTTGGGTGAAATACCGTAAACGTTTACATAACTATGGAAAAATCATGAAAAATCACCATTTTATAGCTGGGTAAATCAACGAACTATTTCTATGGCCATTTTCAATAGCTATGTTAAATTACCGGAGGGTATGTGAAATGGAAGTGATGAATCTATCCCTGAGCCAAACATCACTGTAAAACTATCACCAGTCTTCTAAGCTTAATGAGCTGCACCATCTTCCAGAACCAAAAAATGACTTGCTTTGCCCAGACATGTCGAAATTCAGGTGGCACCAATCAAAGTCATAAATCACCATCTGGTTGGTGGTTTGTTTCAACCCCTCTGAAAAATGATGGAATTCGTCAGTTGGGATGATGAAATTCGCATATATGATGGAAAAAATTCAGTCATGTTTGAAACCACCAGCCATAAATCACCATAAATCCCAAAAAAATAAAACAAGGACCTGGAAATCAGCCATTCTCCCGGAAGCAAAAACCCACTTTGCTTCGAAAAACGTGGTCAACCGATCCGAGCTGACGCTCCTGGCATCGTGGAAGGTCAAGGGATACACGGCACGTTCCGGTGCGATGCCATCCAAGCCTGGCTCCGGCAATTTCGATGACTTTTGTCATGGGAAAAGCTGGGAAAATCTACAAAAAAATGGGAAAATCTAGGGAAAGTCTAGGGACAATCTGGGAAAATCTAATGAACATGTGGAAAAGATAATATGGGATGTTTAATAGATGGGTTACTACATGTGATGGGAAAATATGAATGTTGGCTAATGGCTAATGTTGCTTAAAGCCATGAAAATATGAATGTGGGGGGGTTACACTACGTGTAATGGGAAAACATACAGGATAATCATCGAACAAAATGGGATAAGATCCAGTAGCAACAAGTGAAATGGCAGTGAACCATTCTATTTGTTTGTCGGAAATATACGGGATCATCGTCGAACTAAATGCTCGATTTTCCATTGCTATGCTAAAATCGCTGGATCGTATCCCCTATTCGTGTGTGTGTAAAACCCGAACTATGGTTCGTTAAATCATGCCCACTCTTCAATGAGACCCTTTCCCCTTTTTAGAACTGGTTAGGTTTATAGGTTATATATATATATATATATCCCCATTTACAACACAAGATTGAAGTACTAAAGTATCAGTCCAGTTGTTTTATTGTTAGCCATTTTTTAATGGAGATTGATCACAAACTGGATGATGAAAATGGTGGTTGAATGATGTTTAATCTTGAGCCAAAAAAACGACGTTGATGGTGGTTAACAACCTCGAAACATGTGTGGCCTCCCATAGGTTGGGTTGATTCAGCAGCAATCTCACCACATCAACGGAGCGACGAAGCATGGTGTATCATGGTGGCTGCCAGGGATTCAACATTCCCCTTGATTACCGCCACCGTTCGGTGACAAATTCTTATTCAAAAAGGGACTTCCCTATCTGCTACAACAGCTAGTTTATTCATCCTGGGTTGAAGATTGCTATTGCTATTCCATTCACAATTGTTAGTACTAATTCATAATCAGATGATGAAACACTATTTAACCATATATTTAACCCACACATATATATATATATATGGGTTATATATATATGTATATATATGTATTTCACCATATTTCCCCCATAGTTAACCCATATTTAACAACACTAACCAATCAAACCACCAAAAATTGAGTCCACAGATCCAGAACATTCATCACCCAGGAGCCCCAGGAGCCCCAGGAGCCCCAGGAGCCCCACCTCGTGTGATATTCAGCAGCTCGGCCATATATTTCCTCCAGGGTGGCTGTTGGGGGCCCATAAAACTGGGAGAGTTTTGCCCTGGAAAATGTGGGAGAAGTTGGGTTCTACATGACGATGATTTAGAAATAACCTCTCTAAACTAAATTAGAAAATATATAAGTTGGTAAGCTTTACTATACCATCAATTACTATAAGTTTACTATACCATCAAGTTGGGATATGAGCCCACCAAAAAACTCCTGGTGATGATGGCTTTTAGCCACAAAAATTTAAGTGGAACTGCACCCCCAAATCCCCATAGCTTGACAGGGAATCAGTTTCCCATCAATGGCCATGACTCAGGATCCTAAATTGGAGGTACCGATTCCATATATGTTTGGCCTATTTTTCACGCCTATGTAAGGGAATATCACCAGAAAATATGGCCTTATATGGTACTAACGTACCTCCATTTTAGGATCCTGGAATTCCTATTGAAATAATATATCCCATGTTCAATCAGACAACGCAAAAGTATGTGATTTTTGTTGCTGAGTTGTGGATTTTTTTTGCACCAGAGATATCCCTCATGCAGGACTCATGCATTTGAAGTGAACCATGGCTTTCCCGTCTTATACGGGCCCCTGCAAAAAAAAAGTTTTTCTTAGCTGGTTAATAGAAATAGACCTTGGATGTTGGAACTATTCGCGGGATGCCCCCCTGTATCTTTCTGAGTATAGGGTGTATAACATATATACTCTCTGGTAATTAAACATAGCTATTGAAAATGGCACATTTAGTTCGTTGATTTACCGTTTTTAAAGATGGTGATTTTCCACAGCTATGTTACTCTACCAGAGGGTATGTATATATAGATATATGCACGTACCTATATGTACACACATACCCTCTGGTAATCAAACATGGCAATTCAAAATCCACAACATTTATAGGGATTCTCCCAGCGATAAATAACCTCCATGGCTAGTTCGGGAATTGTCCAGCTACGTTTGATGACACCGGAAGGTATATCCTATTAATATCTCATTAGACCTCCATTCATACTAGCAATATCCAATTAAATCACTATATTACAATCCTAATCCTGCTCATATATATATATATACATTATATATACAGGAGATATGTTATAGTGATCTTAGTGATTTTAATAGGATATGACTATTCTTGCTATTCAATCCGTTTGAAGCAGAGGATCAGATCTCGCAGCAAACGGATGCCAACTCGCTTGACCCTGCTATCAGGATCAAGTATCTTCAGAAGGATGGTCTAAAAAGATATGTGTGAGAATGATTCTGTTAGCTGATTGGGTAGATGTGTTAATAATGGGATTTTAATGGGATTTTAATTGGATTTTAATGGGATTTCCATGGTTAATAATGGCTACTAATGGTTAACAATGGTTCATAATGTGGTAATAATTCCTATATGTATGGTTAACAATGGTTAATAATGTGGTAATAATTCCTATATGTATGGTTAACAATGGTTAATGATGGCCAATGATGCTTTGGTTAATATGGTTAATATGGTCAATTTATGGAAACCTCCATTTGTGCGTTTCATGAAATGCGGGATGCCCAAGTCATCATGGGGGTTCAATACATTTCAATGGTCATCCATGACGACTGGATGTTTTGGGGGTACCCCCATTTTAGGTTTCACCTCCATCTTTTTTGAAAATCCATACCCTCTGGTAAACATACAAAAAACTATGGAAAATCACCATTTTTAATGGGAAAACTCACTATTTCTATGGCCATGTTCAATAGCTATGTAACAAATTACCAGAGGATAATTCTTTGGAAATGTCTTTTTTATCGTCTCATTAGACGAACACTGCCAGTGATGGTGATCCAGCCGTTTTGCCCAATGATTTTAAGCCCAAATGGATAGATCCCATCCGAAAACCAGGATTTTCAGAAGGATTTTCGGCATTCCCATATTTTATGGAGCTGTCCATGGTTGTTTCAAAGCACCATTTTTTTTCAAAAACGTCCATTCGATTCACCATAGAAACACGGTTGCCACGGTTACGCGATCCCCGGTTTCCCCCGGTTTCCCCCGGTTTCCCCCGGTTTCCCCCGGTTTCCCCCGGTTTCCCCCGGTTTCCCCCGGTTTCCCGTTACACCAAGCTTCACGTCTCCCACACCGAGAGCATTGGCGATCCTGGGTATCTATGGCTCCATTTTGTGACCAAAAAATGATGTATCTATGGGGAATCTACTGGGTGTATGTTAAATATGTTCATGACAAATTGGGATTGACCATACATATGGACTCATAGTACAATGTATGTTTTGGTTGGTGGTTTGAACCATCTTGAAAAATATGAAAGTCAATGGGAAGGATGACATCCCATATATTATGGACAAATAAAAAATGTTTGAAACCACCAACCAGATATATATATATATGTATGGAGGATATTTGCTGCGGAAATGACGGGAATATCATGGGAACGTAATCAACAAATAGTCGGGATAGTCAAGAAATCTGGTTTATCATGGCCTATGATCAACAAAAACTTGGGATATCAACCAGCTTACACTGAGGATAAGGGAAATTAATGGAGGATATAATATGTGTGTGTATATATTATACCCTCTGGTTATTGAACGCAGCTATGGAAAATTACCCATTTATAGATGTTTTTTCCCATTAAAAATATTAAAACCTCCATTTATCCATGGGATTTTCCATGGCTACGTCAAATAACCAGAGGGTATATAATGAGGATATCATGGGTAACATGGATACCATGACGTGATGGCGTAATGGATATCAGCCTATTGACAAGCCAACGCCATGGCAACGAATCCCAGGATGTCGTGTTTGACCACCCGGGCATGGAAAATCCATGGAAAATCCCATGGATAAATGTAGGTTTTTATATTTTTCATGGGAAAAAACATCTATAAATGGGTAATTTTCCATAGCAGTTCTGAAAAAAAAAAACTCTTTTTTTCGTCAAGCTCAAAGAGAATCCATGGGGGGCCAATTGGAGAAACCATAGATGATGATTTCTCACCTATTTTTGTACAATCTCTGGTTGGCGGTTTGAACCATCTTGAAAAATGATGGAATTCGTCAATGGGAAGGATGACATCCCATATATGAAATGGACAAATAAAAGTCATGTTCCAAACCACCAACCAGGTGATTAACCACCATTAACCACCATTAACCAGTTATTGTAACCATGGTGATCGGATTTCAAGGAACCAGCTGCACAGTCCAAGGCCTCGCCTTGTCCCACAGATTCCATGGGACAAACCGGGTTTGACCCGGTCAAACGTAGCGCGCGCTTGCGAAGCGCGCACTGCGACGACTGGACATAGACGTGGTTTTTTTACCTAACTTCGACTACCCTCTGGTAAACTAACATAGCTATGGAAAATAACTCATTTATAGTTGATTTACACATTGAAAATATTTGAAAATTGAGATTTTCTATAGTTATGTTAGTTTACCAGAGGGTATCTTTTACTCATTATCAAAAAAACATGGAATAGAACAGAGTGAATGATAGTGAATGTATCTCAATGATTATGGATTGGCTCAGCTAGCATGATTGTCGGCAAAGAAATGGATTACTGTGCACCATCACCAATCACCAGTGCGGTCAACTGTTGAGAGACGTATCGTATCGCCCATTATTCTGGCTGACAGTTCGCCGCAGTTTTGTACAGTATATTGAAAATATTCATGGGATATGAACGGTATGAAAATTTGATATGAATGGTCAATGGGAATGTTCATGGGATATTAACGGAATAAAACGCTTGCCCGACGCTTGCTCCACCTTTGGTCATCAAACGTTTATAGACTTATGGATGATTAAAATTGATTAAATATTATATACACATATATATATATATAATTATATATATATAATATATAATGATATATATATATTATAAATATATTATAAATATATATGATATATGTGATATATGTGATTATCCCATGTAAATGCACATGTTTGGGAACTTCCCAAAGACCAGCCCAAGGTTGCTTTCCCCCGATCACCCGAAAATTTCGCCAGGTCGCTTCAGGCCATATTTCCTCAGCGTTGCGAACATCTGCGGTAGGGGTCCCAGCAGTGGTACGTTTTCTTAGAATTGGTTCAAGGTAGAAATTTACGGAAAAACCAACAACTTTGGAGGTAACAGCCAGGGGTTCCAATTTTATCTTGAACCAATCCATTGAAAGTTCAGATGAACTTGGAGAATTGCGATATACTGGGCCAATTCTGGGCTATAAGCAACAAATTTTGGGGACAATCAACGAACACAAGTTCGCCAGTTCGGAAGTGGGGCCACAAGGAACAAAACAGGAGGAACATGAACTGATCAGATGTGCCATGGTCAAAACATGGCATGGAGCCTGGGTTTTCCATGGTTTTTTTGGTGTTATGGTCATCCAATCATGATCTGAAATCCTCACATTGGCCGTTGTAGTTCCCTTTTTTTTAGTGGTGGCATGACCAAAATCGGGCTACATCATCCAACACCTATGACCGTGGCACTGCGTTATCGGCGCTTCGCATGGTCCGAAGTAGAAGGCGTGATGATTTTTTTACACTATTGCCATATGGCTATGAGTCAAAACCCTGGCACCCGGATGGTACCTAAAATAGATGCTTAATGGATGTTTATTCCCCACTATTTGGTGGTAATAATAGGTTTTGACCCATCCCCATATGAGCTTGTAATAGGGGACACCCACAAATACAGTAGCGATTTTTCATGGGGAAAATGATGAGTTTCTAACCTATTGGAATGGGGGGTACCCTATTTTCAGAGAACCCCATTAATGCATTATGGGAACCATACTGATCTCACCATCAAATCCCCGCAAATCCCAATATTTTGATACTTAATCCCACTTTCTGTTAGCCATGTCTGATGGTTTTTTCCCCATACTTCACCTTTAAAAAGTCCCCATCAATCACCATTGAAGCACCAGTCACCATTGAATTATAAAATTAGCCATTCACCAGTCACCATTGAATCACCAATCACCAATCACCATTGAATCACCATTGAATATGAAAGCCATTGAATTATAACATTATAAAATATCACCATGTCTGATGGTCTTTTCCCCATCAATCACTATTGAATTATAAAATTATAACAAATTACCAGAGGGTATATCCCATGAATATCCCATTAAATCACTATAAAATCCCATTAAATCCCATTAAATCCCATTAAATCACCATAAATCACCATTAAAATCCCATTAAATCCCATTAAATCCCATTAAACCACCATTAAATCACCACTAAAATCCCATTAAATCACCATTAAATCCCATTAAATCACCTATAAAATCCCATTAAAATCCCATTAAAATCAAATTAAATCACCTTAAAATCCCATTAAAATCCCAATAAATCAACTTAAAATCCCATTAAATCACTATTAAAATCCCATTAAACCCCATTAAATCCCATTAAATCACCATTAAATTCCCATTAAAATCCCATTAAATCCCATTAAATCCCATTAAATCACCATAAAAATCCAATTAAATCCCATTAAATCCCATTGAAATCTCATTAAATCCATTAAAATCCGATTAAATCCCATTAAAATCTCATTAAATCCCATTAAATCACTATAAAATCCCATTAAATCCCATTAAGATCCCATTAAATCACCATTAAATCACTATAATAATCCCACTAAATCCCATTAAAATCCCATTAAAATCCCATTAAATCCCATTAAAATCCCGTTAAAATCCCATTAAATCACCTTAAAATCCCATTAAATCACTATTAAAATCCCATTAATCCCCATTAAATCCCATTAAATCACCATTAAAATCCCATTAAAATCCCATTAAATCCCATTAAATCCCATTAAATCACCATAAAAATCCCATTAAATCCCATTGAAATCCCATTAAAATCCCATTAAAATCAAATTAAATCACCTTAAAATCCCATTAAAATCCCATTAAAACCCCATTAAATCCCATTAAATCACCATTAAAATCCCATTAAAATCCCATTAAATCCCATTAAATCACCATAAAAATCTTATTAAATCCAATTAAATCCCATTAAATCCCATTGAAATCCCATTAAATCCCATTGAAATCCCATTAAATCACTATAATAATCCCACTAAATCCCATTAAAATCCCATTAAATCCAATTAAATCCCATTAAATCACCATAAAAATCCAATTAAATCCAATTAAATCCCATTAAATCCCATTAAAAATCCCATTAAATCCCATTAAATCACCATAAAATCCAATTAAACCCCATTAAATCACCGTAAAATCCCATTAAATCCCATTAAATCACCATAAAAATGCCATTAAATCCTATTAAATCCTATTAAAATCCCATTAAATCCCATTAAATCACCATAAAATCCCATTAAACCCCATTAAATCACCATAAAATCCCATTAAACTCCATTAAATCACCATAAAATCGCATTAAACCCTATTAAATCACCATAAAATCCCATTAAACCCCATTAAATCCCATTAAATCACTTTAAAATCCCATTAAATCCCATGAATATCCCATTAAATCACTATAAAACCCCATTGAATCACTCTAAAATCCCATTAAATCACCATAAAATCCCATGAAAATGCCAACATTTTTGGGGAATCTCCAGGCCGCGAGTCTGACATTTCCCCACCGAGCCACTGGTCACGGTAGTGCCCCACCGCCTCGCTGCGAGTCTCGGCTGGGGTGCCGCCCCACCACTCCTGATGCCTCGAACGAGCTGAACGTCAGGGAGGCACTGGAAATATGGTGATTTTGCAGTGATTTAATGGGGTTTAATGGGATTTTAATGGGATTTTAATGGGATTTTAATGGGATTTAATGGGGTTTAATGAGATTTTAATGGGATTTTAATCGGATATTAATGGGATATTAATAGGATTTAATGGGATAATAATGGGATTTAATGGAGTTTAACTGATATTTCTTCTATATGAATGGGATATAATATAATGTGGTTAAAAGAATGCCATTTTTACCACCCATGACTGGGAATGGTAAACATAGCACCTATAAAAAATTGTCATTTCGGGGGTGGTTCTCATGGCATTGTTTTAACCACAAAATCCTGTGGATTTGTCAGAAATCCACCACCAAACAGATGGTTGAAATCAACCCAACCAATCCACAATGGGATGTTTACCATCTATCGTAACTGGTGGATTGACTCAGGAAATCCAACCAGAAAACAGGGGAAGTTTCCCGGTTCGGAAGGCATATTTTACCAAGGTAAAATTTGACGACCAAAAAAAGAAGTGTTGACCAGGATTTTTTTTCAGATTCGACCAACGAAGAGCAAGAATAATGGGTATATATATATATATACCCTGGGGTAAGCTAACATAGATGTGGGATGAAGTGGTTCACCCGCGGTTTCTCTGAAAATGAGCGGGTGTTCTCATTCATGGCGGGTTTTCCACATCTCTATGTTTACAGGAGGATAAATCATCATGGTAAAAAGTGCCGCACCTTGGACCACTGCAACTGCAGCATCTTGCTGGTGAATGCTGTCGTGAATCCCCGAAATCAGTTTGGCTTGTACACCCATTTTTTGAGAAGTATCTAAATCTGGGTAACAATAAAAAGGCCATGATTGATAGTGTTTACCATGGTGGTTTGTCATGTTCTAGTAATCCCCAAGCTAAAAGAAGTTCAAAAAAAATTGCTTTACTTCGTGTGATCCCCACCATGATATTTAACCGCTTTGTTACTGGCAAATCTTCTGGCATTCTATCTGACATATCTTCTGGCATTCGATCTGGCATTCTTTCTGGCATATCTTCTGGCACTCACCTGGCATCTCTTCTGGCATATGTTCTGGCATATCTTCTGGCATTCTATCTGGCACATCTTCTGGCATTCTATCTGGCATATCTTCTGGCATATCTTCTGACATCCTATCTGGCAAATCTTCTGGCATTCTATTGGCGAACATTCTGGCACTTTATCTGGCATACTTTCTGGCACTTTATCTGGCATACCTGCTGGCATTCTATCTGGCATTCTATCTGGCATATCTTCTAACATTCTATCTGATATATCTTCTGGCACTCTATCTGGCATATCTCATGGCATTTTATCTGGCATATCTTCTGGCATTCTATCTGACATTCTATCTGGCATCTCTTCTGGCATTCTATGTCCCATATCTTCCTACATGAGGTCCGGCAGGGAACACTTGGCGTGGATACTCGCGGTTGAGGTCCGGCAGGGAACACTGGGCGTGGATGGTCGTGGTTGAGGTCCGGCAGGGAACACTGGGCGGGGATACTCGCGGTTGAGGTCCGGCAGGGAACACTGGGCGGGGATGGTCGTGGTTGAGGTCCGGCAGGGCACACTGAGCGTGGATGGTCGTGGTTGAGGTCCGGCAGGGAACACTGAGCATGGATGGTCGTGGTTGAGGTCCGACAGAGAACACTGTGGATCGCGGGTCGCAGTTGGACGAGGAGGACGAGGAGGACGAGGAGGAGGACGACGAGGAGGAGGACGACGAGGAGGACGACGAGGAGGAGGAGAGGAGATGAGGAGAGGAGAGGAGAGGAGGAGCAGGCAACTGACATAAAATCTAACAACCCTCACCTGGCAGGTGGGGAACAAACTTTTTAAGGTGAGAGTCACCATGGTGGCTCATGGTGATAAAATGTGGTGAATCCCAGCCTCCCATGAGGCAAATGATGTTTTTTTCGCCCCTACAGAATTCTGTTTCCGAAGATGCTGGATATAGATGTTAATTGTTAGAGGAAGGGATCTTAGAAAGACATATACTAACCATCGAAAGACATCATCATAATCATAATCAGAGTCATCGTCAGCATCACCATCATCATCATCATCATCACCATCATCATCATCATGATCATCATCATCATCATCACCATCATCATTATCATCATCCCAAAACGCAATGGCTGAAATAACGATTTTGTTGACTCGAAACCATACCGAACCTCAGATACCCATGGACATAGCTGGATAAGTCCAGCTGGTTAGTCCATAGTTTCTTTAATAACATCGAACGACTCAACCAGCGAACTAAAACTAGTCCATTACATTCCATAGCTATCCCATTTTTAAAAAAATGGCATTGGATAGTCATCCATTTATATACATATACATCTATATATATATACATATACATCTATAGATATATATATATATACATACATCTATATAGATATATACATATAGATATAGATATATTGTGCATTTTCCCACCAGGGCTTTTCCCAGCGGCCGAGCTACACCAAGTCCCATGGCAGCTGGTTGATGATCCTGATCTAAATGGAGGTCCACAGCTTGTCTAAATGGCCATGAGTCAACAGCTTGGTACTGGTATTTAATGGGATTTTAATGGGATGTTAATGGGATTTTAATGGGATTTTGATGGGATTTTAATGGGATTCTAATGGGATTTGAATGGGATTTTAATGGGATTTTAATGGGATTTTCATGGGATGTTAATGGGATTTCCATGGTTAATAATGGTTAATGATGGGTAATAATAATACTGCTTGGTGGTGCAATAACCAGTTTTAACCATCTTTTTCAAAATGATGGACTTCGTCAGCTGGGAATTTTCTGACATCCCATGAAATGGAATGTCAAATCCATTCATGTTCCAAACCACCAACCAGTGGTACATGCTACCCCTTGTGGATGTGACTTTTCCCACATTTATGTGGTTTTGTAATGCGAAAAAAGGTGTTGACCCATCCCCAAATCCTCTGAATATCTGCCCAAAACCCACCAGCATTTTGCTGGAACCGGAACCGGAAGGTCGTGACTGTTGCTATGAAAAAATCCTTCATGTTTTCTGGCTCCCCATTGAAATCTGCTGGTCAAATCCCACCTTAAGAAAAACCGTTCGAGCCCCAAAAAAGACTGTCGCGCAAACCTGGATTTGGCCCTTTAAAGGAAAAAAAGTCCCAGACAGTCAGAACCCTATATTATATATATACATATGTATACATACATATATATATATATATACACACACACATATACAGACATATATACATATACAGATACATATATATATATATATGTACATGTACATGTACCCCACTGCCCAGTCAAGCCCTTCATTTGCACCTGTTGAAAGCAAATTGCTACCAGCAAAACTCCAATCGTTGCTGGTGTGTCAATCCACAACTTGTGTCTAAAGATGAAGACCTAAAAATTGAATTTCACATGTTTTGGCTTCAAACCGGGTTTGTATTGCTAGAAATCCCTATCTTTACTGCCTGGAAATTGGAGTTTCCCATAACATGGCTATGGATCAAAACCCTGGTAGCGTTCCGCGAAAACATCAAAGAAAAATTGGTGTTTGTTAACCCATGGGTTATATATGGGTTATATATGGGTTATATATGGGTTATATATGGGTTATATATGGGTTATATAACCCATATAATCCCAAAGTTTGTGGATGTTTATAACCCATTGTTATTCTATGATTCGGCGAGTGAATCACCATTTTGATTGTTACCATCCCATTAAAAAAGATGTGCCGTGTGGATGATTGATCATGTCAATGGCGCAACAGGAAGCGATGAAACTTGGAGGTACCCGGCCTGGTAAATTGTTACATACTGGTATGGTCATCCAAGAACCCAACGGAAATACATGGATTTGACCCACAAAAGCCTCTAAAACGATTCAACAAATCACTGCAAATCTCATAGGCACAGCTACAATCGCTACGACCCCCCTGAAAAGCTTCGCCCAATGGTATGGACTCAAAAGCAAAGAATCGCTACGACTTTGACCCTTGACTGTAACTATGGAAAATCACCATTTCTAGCTAGGTAAATCAAATCAACTATTTCGACTGGGCCATTTTCAATAGCTATTTTGACATAACCAGAGGGTACCTACCATATATAAAGCCCATTTTTCAGGCAGGGAATATCCCATTGATCCCTTTTTGGCCATCTCAAGGGTTCTGTTCCGATGTAAAAAATCCCGGTTGTTTGTTATCGTCCATTTTTCGTCCGACATGCTACATATATCTACATATCCCATCATATAAAACACCACGCTTCCTAGGTTGAATCAGTTGAATCCACATGTTTCTGTAAAATGTTGCTTACATATTCCATCATATCCTCGTTAAATCACAAAAAAACATCATTGTTGGATGATTCTGGCGATTTTTTCCCAGCTGAGTCCCAGCTGGCTTTCTAGTTCAACCCCATTTTTTCATCATGAATGCTTCATGATCAAATCCCGAATCTTCCCCCAGTGGCTATGAAAAAATTCCGGCTGGAGCAACCCTGAAGGGGATCATTAGGCATCGGATCCCAGATTTGGATAGGAAAATCATAGGAAGAAAAAAAACAGTTTTTATCGCAGATTTGGATGGTAAAAACATCTTCGAATGTTGATCCCTCAGATAAAGTTGATAGCAAATTTCCCCAATCAACATATTGTTATGTCACAATCATGAGTCTGGGCGAACGTTAAGGTTGCGGACAACGCCAAGCAACGCTGCAAGGTCCTCACTGGAGATGTAGCTGGCCGCATCGATGCCTGGGGCACAGTTCGACAAGATTCGACAACTGCTTCGTGGGTGAAAAAAACCCTGTTATATACATATATATATATACATGTTATACATATATATATATATATATATGGCATTATATGGGTTATATATGGGTTATATATGGGTTATATATGGGTTATATATATATATATGGAATCTTCCCACTTATATATGGAATATATATATATATATGGAATACCCCGCGTTCTTTTTCATGGAATATCCCCATTGGATATGGGATAAAATATGGCCCCGAAAACCAGTTTCTGACTGGATTTCACGGAGACAAAAATGGGGATGTTTCATGGGAAATTTTCGCGAAGAATGGGGATGCCTTAACCGGGTAATGGGGATGCCTTAAAGAGATAAAATATTGGATGTAGTTGGAATATTTCATGGGTAATAAGGAATGGGGGTGCTAAAAATGGGATATGTTGGTAAAAAGATGCTTTATGGTTGCTGAACATTGGGGTACCCCTTAAAATCATCATAATTTGGACCAATTTGTGATTTTATCCATATGGTGATTTCTTAATTTGGTGGACTAGTCACCAATTGAAAAAGCAGGTTTCATCGGAAAATTACGATCATCCAATGGGGTTTTGGGGTATCCCATGTTGTGCTAGTCCCCGATGTGTTTTAAGGGACGCGCACCCGAATATCATAGTTTTTGCTATAGATACTATAGATCCAAAAAAATATCCCATCAAATATGTCCATAACATATCCCCACTAAACCCATTGGCATCTCCTAATCAACAAAATATTGTGATACATGACTCATATGATGAGGATGTTTTATTGGGGGGTTCTCATTGGATGTATCCCCTTTTTTGTACCCAATATATCAATTTTTAAAACGGCCTCCATATGCAGAGCCATTTGGGGAGCCGTCTACAGGTCCCAGGTCCCAGAGAAACCAAAGAGCTGAAGAGTAGCTGAGCCAATATTTACCAACCGCAATAGGATAGCTTTTCATGTGGCGTGGCATATTGGCATAACATGTGGCGTTTTTTTTAGAACAACATCCCCGATCATGATTTGATGCATCTTGGAAAATGGGAAGCTTCACCCACAAAAGAATGAATGAATTTAACCATCGTTGCTGCAGAACGCGCATGTCTGTGTTGCCACTGCAAAATGTAGAATTCAGGTTACTGGCTTTCAATCACCATTTTCGTGTACAAAAACATCGAAAACTCACGATGAAATCCGCGTTTCTGTGGCTTAAACCCAATTAATGTCATATTTCAACACCCCAAATCGGTTGTGTTCAAATCCCCACATTTTTTCCGGAGATCCCAATGTGTTCCCATCTTGAGATGGCTTCGCTCAATGCTGGGAAAAAAAAAACTCCCAGCCACTTCAGCTTCATCATGTTTCATCCCCATGGATTTTCCAGTGAATTCTCCATGTTTCTCCTGGTCTTTTCCCATGGATTTTCTCCTGGTGAATTCTTCGGGGAAATCCAGGGCCCAGGGCGTGAACTTCACATCCGAGTTGCGGAGCATGGTGACGCCCAAGTCGTGCAGCTCCATGAGATGTTTCGCCAACATGTCACGACTCAGCTGGTGGATGATGGATGGATGGATGGATAGATGGATTATATAGTTGATAGATGGATGGTTTATAGCCTATAGCTTAGAGATGGATGGATGTGGATGTAGGTGTGGGTATGGATATAGAGATATGGATGTAGAATGATATGTATGTATATATATATATAGATATAGATATATCCAAGGGTCCCGTGCTGAATTGAGAATTTGTACCTCCAAAAAACATGATTTAGTAAGCAAATACCTGTATTGACAATATGCACATGTTCCATCATGTTCCCACAAACCCCCGGGGAAATCAGGTATTTTCAATGCCTCGAATGGTTACACTGGGACAACCATCAGGATTTCTACCAGGTGCATCCCATGGTCACACAGGGTCAACGCCAAGCAACGTGGACTGGAGCCCAGTGTTCCAGTCCTGAGGTCGATTCGGGGCATGGCGATGTTGAGGGTAAATCAGATATCAAATCTAGAGATTTCAAGTGATTCAAGCCAATCAGCCTAGAAGTTTTTTGCAAAAACTGCCAAGAATTCTATATTCAATATACTCAGTTGGAGAGAATATATACCCTCTGGTAATTTAACATAGCTATGGAAAATCACCATTTTTAATGGGAAAACTCACTATAAATGGCCATTTTCAATAGCAAACTGTTAGTTTACCAGAGGGTACAAGAACGCATGTCCTTGGCGATAAAAAAGGTTGTTGGCACCAACTTCATGGTTTCCCAGGGGGCCGTGAAGACGGCACCGATGAAAAAATGAACACATCCTGGCACCGAAAAAAGGCACTACCTGGCAACGGAATTCCTCAAAACCTGGCTGGATCCCAACAAAATCAGACCATCAACCCAGGGGTCAACTTTGTTTCCATACTGACATGTTTTTACTTTTGCATATTGTGAGGGATGAAATTCCATTCTACAAGCCAGAAGAAACACAACTTTGAGTGGGTTTTTTCCAGTAGGTCATTAGGTTAACTATAAGTTGGGAAACTCAATTCGGCCGAATCTCCATTCTGTGGAAATATGGATGCCCAGAGATAGCGTTCCTTTCACCACTCCCAAGCCGGCTAGGTGAGGCCCAACATAGCTAGGTTGAAAAGAACACCTTTTTTTTGAACTCGGGTTGATTTAGGTGGATATAACCAGAATATTCTAATAGGGGCTTTACAAACCACATATGACCAACAAGCATATCCAGGATTATCCAGGTATCACATGGTATCACTACGGCTTTGGCTGAAAACTCCGTGGCTCAGTTTCTCAGAAATTCCATAGAGTTTGCTATGGAAACTGGTCCATGTACAAATTGTACAAATGATGTTCCCCTTTAAAATGCTGAGAACATGACGTAAACAGCAAGAAATTCCCAGGTTTTTTTCTCATGGAATTGTGTTTGCTCTCCATCATCCCCCCATGTCGCTTTCACCAAGATCCGTGTTGCCACGTTCTTACCCTCTAGTAATCAATATGGCTGGGAAATCCTAGCTCAGTAAATTGGAGGTGAGAAAATCATCGGTCACTAAATGGGGAGTTTCCACGGTTGGTGACTCCAGAGGGTACTTCCTACCAGGGTCTAACCAGATCTCTTGGCTAGATAATCCAAAAAGTCTGATTTGTTAATCAACCCAACTGTTTGTGCACGAAATTGAACCCCAATATGAATCAAGAAAAATGGCCAATGGAGTTGTAAGCGTTTATATATATATATGAAAAAGTATCCCCTTTCAACAAAATATACCCAACTCAAATCCATGAAGGGGATATACAAATCATATACCCAAATCCACCTATTTTCGTATGACTTAGAATACCATCTGGTAATTTGTGAAAATTCTTACATAGCTATTGAAAATGGTCATAGCTAGTTCTTAGAATTTACCCTCTGGTAATTTAACATAGCTATTGAAAATCACCATGTTTAATGGGAAAATCCACCATAAATGGCCATTTTCAATAGCTATGTTAGTTTACCAGAGGGTACCGTTTTCAAAAATGCTAAGGGGAAACATCGGTGGACTCTACACGACAAGTCGGACTCTGCGCAACAATGGGTGGGATTGTCCAGCTTCGATATATCCTCACGAAATATCCCATTCGATATCCCGTAGTGTTGGTTGTATAGATATAATGTGTATATATATATACATATATACATATATAGTGTATATATATATAATATCCCATAGTGTTGGTTGTAATAAATATATCCAATTGAATATGCTCATACCAAAAAATATTCCAATAATTGGTGATATATCCCATTGAATATAGCCTTGAAAATGGTATTATAGGTATTATACCACACATCATTTCTATATCCCATTCTCCCATGGAATTATCCCCCATTAGAGCATTAGATATCGAACACTTATACATTGCAATATAGATCATAACAGACATATTAAATGTATTTAAAACTCCCAGAAACTATCCCCCAAATAAAATAGTCACATGGTCTATATTCCCAGTTTCTCCCCAAAATTCGGCCCCCACTTCGTCCGAGCATCTGGAAGGCCCTTGAAGTCACACTTGGTGCAGTCCCCCGGGGGTTCACCTTCGCGGAAAATGCCATGGAAATGTTTATCAACCTCCATAGGTGACAGTCAACTGCCATCAATGAAACATAGATTGCTTCTGAAATCTGTTGAATCTGTTGCTCCTATGTTTGCTGATTGTCTTTGCAGCAAAAAACAGCAACATCCGAAGCTCAAAAATCGGCAACGCAACTTGTTCCTGTTTGATCTGGGCAGTTACACTTCTTCTGGCTAAATAAATCCTATGGAATCCACTTCGATATAACATGTTTCGAAACGCTGAAAAAACATCCCCCAACTCCCTGGTGGTTTTCATATCCAGAGATGGTCAATGGACGTAATGGGATCATGTTTATGAATTGGGGGGTACTCCTCCAATAGTCATTTCATCTGATACTGAAAAATGGTACCCCCCCAATTAACCAGCCGTAAACGGGGTTTATTCATCCAGGGTTGACATTAATGGAAAAATAGTTCATAGTCAATGGATCTAAAAAAATTAAACTGACTAAGAACAGATACCCTCCGGCAATCAACCATGGCTTGCTGGAAAATCCTCCATTTCTAGAGGATTTTCCCAACTAGCAACCTTCATTTATAGGGATTTCCAACTTACATGTTTCTGGGTAAATTATAATATTTCACTCAACCTGAATTAAGGCCATTTGGGGATGATTCCCCTTACTAACTATGATTTCCAGTGAGGTCGCAGTGAGGTCGTTATAATTTACCCAAATGTTTGATTACCAGAGGGTAACAACATCAACTATTGATCTTGATATGAATTCTTCAGCCACGTTTTCGGCCGAAAAGGGGGATGACTCCCCTAATCCCAATGTCATCTGGGAAAGGCCTTGATGCCGGGGAAAAAAAAACTACCCTCTGCTGTCATCACACGCGGTTGGGAAACGCCTCCAAACAACGCAGGTTTGTAGCATGGGAAAATCATCCAAGTACCATCCGGTAATCAAACGTGACATTGCAAAATCCACCATTTATAGATGATTGTCCCATCAAAACCTCCATTTAGTTCGGGGATTTTCCAGCCATGTTGGATACAGAGGGGTATGACTACAGGTTTACCATGGTTGACCCACCAAGGATTGAAGGCCGGAGTTTCGACTCCCTTCCCCCTTTTTGCCCGTTCATAAACATCTCCGAAACCATGGATGGAAAATTTAAACATCTTGGGACCCAGCGAAAAAGGTCGTGTTTCATCGGAGGATTCACGCGGCTGAAGCGAGTTTTTTATCGAGGGACTTTGTGGACACGTGAAGTCCGGCTCTTCGACGGGACAATTGCCTTGGGACGAAAATCACGGAGAGGCCGAAGCCGAAAATCATCGAAAATCACAGGATCAATGGAGGTTTAATGGAATGTTACTATAGGTTTAATGGGATGTTACTGGAATGTTAATGGAATGTATAAATCATCCATGTGTGAAATCAAACGTGAAAAAATTGAACTTATCTTATTTTCATGGTTTTTCATGGGGAAATCGTCCAACTCAATGAGGGATTTTCCAGTAAACCATGGTGCTGACATGACCACGACGATGGAGAGTCCAGGTCTGGCTTTAGCATCAGATTGGATGTGCAACACAGATTGCTGGTTGCTATAACTCTAACCCTCTGGTAAACGTTTACATAGCTATGGAAAATCACTATTTTTAATGGGTAAATCCACTATAAATGGCAATTTTCAATAGCTATGTTAAATTACCAGAGGGTACCCTCCTGAAAACACACACAAAAAGATGTGGAAACTTCTGTTGAAACCTCCAGAAAAATTCTAGATCATGTTCCAAGGGAAATCCTTGGGAAAACCACATCAAATTTTGTATGTTCGTTTACCCCAAAGGGGGTATGACCATCAGCTTTAGTTCCACAAGAATTCCACTACTCCAGGCCTAGGATTCATAGGTGGGACATAGATGGGACATGAAAAAATGACCATTTTTTCCATCCTAAATATGACCATATTTATGCGTTGTAGACATAAACTTATAAAGCACCCAAAAAAAATGGTAGTTTCATGGCATTGGCTTTACCACATGTTTTGGTTCATAAGGGAACTAAAACATATAACTGTTATAACATGTTTGACACATGGATGAAACTTACCACCAGACAATGCCACGACCACGGCACAGCTACTTGGTGCTTCACCCCAACTGGGGGTTAGTGACTGCACCAAGCGTCACCAAGATGCCAAGATACCAAGATGCCAAGGTTGATCTCAAAATGGTCTGCAATTCTACTTTCATATCGATTAGATATATACATATATATATATACATATACATTGTGATTGGTAGGGGACCAATCTACACTGGCAGCCCTTCCACCTCCAACAAGCGCAGCGTCGCACCTTTTGTGACCGCACCTGCAAAAGTCTCAGGTTCCTGCAGCGATATCGGATTGCAGCAAGGCCTCCCAGGCCAATATGGTTTGCGAGCCCCTGGCTCCAAGCTGTTAAACAAACAAGCAGCACGGACGTCCACGTCCAAAACCAAATGGCAGAAGCACAACAATCCCGCCCTCCCACTCCAGGGCTATCCTGAGCCTAGGTGCTAAGGTCAAGGTAAACATGGTCTTTGGTGGAACGTCTGTTGGTGCAACCGGAGGTCCAACGGATTCATGTGGAGGTTGCAACGATATGGATTCACACTCCCAAAAAATCCAATGTTAAGAAAACAGTTTTCGTTGCAACCTTGGTTCGAATCGTCGGAATTGCATGAGCTCTTCAACCATTTCAGTCGGTTTCGCGAAGATGCACGGCTTTTCAAAACTTCCAACTCGTCATTTAATCGGTATCGACCCAGCTTCAATGTTTCACGCAAGAAAGTTGTTTCCATGATCTTTGTAAGACAATCTGCAACTTGAGCACCACTGTGAACCCATCTTAATTGCACGCCTTCTGCTAGCATGTCCTTGATTGCAAGTGCATTTAACTGAGTCCTGTGTTCAGCGCAATTTGGAGTTGCAGTCCTTGTGACCAAATCGAAAAGCGACTTACAGTCTGTAGCAGCAACACTGTCCGGTAAGCTCTGGGCATTGTGAGTGGCAGTTGCAAATGTCTCTGGTAATTGTTTCAACGTGTTGCTTGGTTGTTGCCAGTTAGTTTTCGCATCTAACATCCAGGCCCAGCATAATCGCATCCATGACAAATGGTCTAACACCGAATTGAGGGAAACTGTCTCCGCTGCCAACGTGCTTGTGACAACTCTTTGGATCTTTTTGCAACCCCAAGACAGTGGCGAAACTGGACAGGATACATTTTCACTGATTAAACGGTGTGTTCCCATGATCATACTGCCGGTGTGTGAACTGGGATTACCTTTTGAAGCAAACGATGCGTCTGAGAATGCCAGAAAACGAAAGTCTTCAACTGGAATGGGTTGGATTTGAATTGTGGTGTCGTGAAATTTCTTGGCCTCATGAAGTGCTTGATTTGCGGAAGTTAATGTGGAAACAGTTGCTGAGTTAATCGCCGATTGCAACATGCTGAGTCTACTGGCCAGGTCTGGCCGCGTGTGCGCTGCTGCATACTGAAGGCTCCCGATTAGACCCCTCAGAGCTTGTCTTTCTTCTTCGGACACTTTTGAATCGGGTTGTTGACGACGTTCAAGTGGAATCTTAATGGGTTCGATGGCGCGTACATAGTTTGATTGTCGCATGGTAATTGTACCGTTGGGAAGTTGGTCCATCTCAATGCCAGTGAAAGTGAATTGTTTGATTTTCTTTGATCCAAAAGGGTATTTCTTTTCAAGTTGATCAATCTTTCGAGCAAAGTATTCAGAACCACCACAAATCCCATCATCAACATGAAGTCCTAGTATTCCCTCCAGAGATCCCGTCTCATGGTGTCTCAACACAAATTGACACGGATCAAACGGACTTTGGGTAAAACCTAAGTTGATCAAAGCTTCGGAGATGGCTTGATACCATTGATATGGTGCATCTATGAGGCCGTATGCGCCCTTTTCAAGTTTGCATACCTCATTTGTAGCTAGTTTCAAGGCATCTACAAGCTCACTGACGGGTTCGATGGCAAGGATTCTGTCTGCCTGGGGCTTGCCTTGTAGAAAGGCTGCACGGATGTCAAACGATCGGAGCTGCCATCCCTTCGAGGCAATCAGTTGAAGGAGGAGCATCTTTGAGTTTCGTCCAAGAGTTGGTGAGTCACGTGGCAAATCTTCCAGCTTTGGATCCAGGTACCCCAAAATGACTAACCGTGCTTTGGCCTTTGTCTTCATTGTTTTGGGGCCATGTGCATCACTGGAATCATCAATTGGTTTCCATGTTAAGACCCATCTGCACCGAAGTATTTGTTCATGAGGAACTTGATTTCGAAGAATTCTTGAGATCGTTCCTGTTTTGACCCAGTTCTGAATCTCAGCCATCTTGGCTTTCTGAAACTCTTGTCTCTCAGCTTCAGTCAAGGTAGACCATTTGACTTCTGAGCGAGCCCTTTTGGCGGCAGACACTACGAATGCCATTTCTGTTGGATCATCTTCACATTTCCAGCTGTTGATATCCTGCTCCAAGACAGGAACCTCACAACGCCAGGCTAGGTCATGCTCGGTAGCAAATAGGCATTCATCCATGTCTAAGCAATGTAGGCCCTCACACATCAAGTCTTCATCGTCATCGGCTGGTACTGGAGTGGTTATTGCGGGATCATTCAAGTTATTTTGGTTTTCATTGGGGTTAACTTCAGAAGTTTCGAGGTTACGGTCATGGTCTTGGGAATTATTACTGTGAATGGACAGTGACGATTGATGTGAGTGAGCTTCGGGTTCAGCATCAGGTTGTCCCACAGGTCCAGGTGACTGTGGTCTGGGTGTTGTCTCGGGATTCATCGGTGTGATGGGAATCTCTTCAGGTATGGAAATGGCTCTGGTGATACCTTGAGTTTGGATGTTGGAAATTTGTTGGGCAATGGTGGAGATTGTGGGTTCATTGGATTGAATTGGAATCCCTTGAGCTTCGTGAGCTGAAACAGGTCTAACATGTTCGGGGGCACATCTATACAACTTGCATGCCATGGTGGTCCATATGGTTTGGGGATTTTCGTGAACCACAATTTTCATGGGACCCAACCAATGACCGGGAACTGCCCCCTTTCCTTGTTTCCATGCCATGACCCATTCTCCTGGCAAGTATTTTTGGCCTCCTGGTCGAGCCCGTCTGAGCATGGCACGACGCAAGCTTGCGTCATTGTCTGCATGGGCAAAGGCTTTTCTGGCGCTCTCTCGAAAGGCTAATTGCTTTCGAAAGGCAATACCCTGAGCCGTGTCGGAGTCGGCTAACAGGTGTGCTGGCAACATCTCATCACTGCATACAGCACCAGGCAAACGTGTATGTTTTCCTAACACAAGTACTTCCGGTGCAAAACCCTTCTTCAAACTGCTAGCATTCTTGGCACGGATGCACCAATACAATGCCTGTGACAGTTCACTGGTCTGAGTGATGGGATGTTCACTTTCGAATTTCGTCAGCATTGATTTGAGTACAGCACCATGCCTTTCGGCCTTGCCATTCTGATACTGAGCTTCAGGGCTGATTGTCGTGAGCTTGATGTTGTTGGATTGCACAAATTGACAAAACTCTTCTGAATTAAATTCAGCTCCAGCGTCTACGATCATCTCACTTGGAGAGCCAGCCCATGAAAGCCACATGTCAATCAGCAACTGAGACACTGCAGCGGACGAATGATCTGCAGACACTCGGGCACATTGGAAATTTGTGGACCAATCAACAATATGGTACACATGGTACTTCATGCCGGAGGAGTTAGTCCAGTAAAATCCATCTACACATACCCTGTCATTGAAGTCCAGTTCATCTTTGATACTGCCCGGTCTGGCCAGTTTGGGCTGCTGGTTTTCTTGGCACGTGGAGCACTTGAGCTCTAAAGCCGCCTGTGCAATCTCAGCTCGGTATCCTTGGGCTCTCAACAACGTGCTCAATCTTTCAGGGCTTGGGTGACCTAAATTCTTATGTGCTCTCAAGAGAGCCACCTGTTCATCTTTTGGAAGAGCAAGGAATCGGGCTGACTGAGATGCATTACGGACATCTGCTGCTTGGGAACTGGTCAGTTCCTGAGACGGCCATGATTCGGTCACCTTCGGTTCCTGAGCCGGGGAAAGCACTTCGGTTCCCCCCGCAGGAGTCGGGGTCTCTGAATTAGCCGGCATCTGGACATCAGTGGCATCCGGCGTGGGTACTTGCATGCTAGGTGTCAGAGACATCTGGGATTGGTGTCCTGGGTGAGGCTGGTCTCGTGCAAACAAGGTCATGTTGATGCGTGTCGCATGGGATGGTCGTATTAGGTTTCTTTTGGCAAGTTCTTCCCAAGCTTCCCATTCCTCTTCCACTCGAATTTCCCCAGATCCCCGTTCAGTAAAAATACTTCTACGAAGTGGAGCCATCCCCTTAAGGATATGGTCTGGGGGTGCCATCGTGCGGCTGGAACCTCGACATGCCATGACGGCTACTATGGCCTTATCTGTGATGAGCTGCTGTATTAAGGAGATTACCTCCGGGTCATCAATGCATCTTTTGCCTACCCTGGGAAGTTGGGAATTCACCTTTCCAAAGATTTCTTGCCATTTGGCATGGGCATCAATGGGAGTAGTTTTGCTAGTGCATTTTAACCTCTTACCCCAGGGCAGCTGAGATATGGTACACGTACGGCTGGTCTTGGCAGATGCATACCGGTTGGTACACATTCGCTTTGGCGGAGGCGCCTCAGGATGCTCTTCGGTCGCAAGCACAGGCCAGATTTCATTCTTGTAGGGCTCTTCTGTCGGCTTCTGTACTTTTCACAGGAGGAGTGCTATTTTTCGGGCAAATTTTCGTGGATAGTTTTCAGTAAAGGCTGATCTATTCATCCTTTGTCCCCCAACACAAATCTGTCCCTCTATCACCTGATGGTGTGGATGCACGGCTTGTCCGGGACATCGCAAGCCTGTGAGTCCATTGATCAAGTTGAGTGAGGTAGATAGAATGGTTAGGGTCTTTCTGATCGGAAGTCCATTTGTGGGGTCTTTAAGATCGCCCGCTGAACACAAATCCACATCCACTGCCAACATGTAGTATCGAACCTCTTGCATGTAAGGCAATTTGAACATCAGGGACCCTCGGGGCTGTTCCCAGTGCATGTGTCTACCATGTTGTCGTTGATGTCGTAGGATGACATCTCCCAAGGCCACTTGCTCCAGAAATTTCATTCTGGTCTGTTGCAATTCATCCCAGGCTTCGACAGAACGGCTACCGTTCAGGCATGAGAAACCACTCCAAGGGCCACATGATGGAGAAAACCAAACATTCTTGGGACGTTGGAGAACCAACTTGGAAAACAAGGTCTCACGGCCGGAACGGGTCTGGAGATCACCTTGGAGAATGCTCATGCGCTCTGCACGGTATCCCAAACGCTGGGATTGGTGAGTCAACTTTGAGGCCCACAGAAAACTTCTAGTAGGTCAAGTCGAGGCTGATTATTGATGGTTTTCTTCTGTGAAACGGATTGTAATTCATGAGTGTATTGGTTGACCAGTTGATTGAAACGAATTCTTTCCTTGTTGCTTTCACATGTGAAGGAAATTTCTGGGGACACAAAACAATCAGCACTGACATCACCTGCATCTCGCTGCATGGCAATGCTAGGGCACTCAGGCGATATCACTGTTCGGAGATCTGGTTGCTGGTGTTCTGCTCGATGAAGGTGATGATGCGAGACAGGGCATTCTCCACACTGACCATTCGGAGTTCCATCTGGTCCTCCGTGCTCGCTGTCCATACTGGCTCGGCTTCTGGCAGCATCTCGAAGAGTTCCGGATCCTCTTCGTAATCCCACACCGTCGCAGGGATGTCCTCCACCGGAGTTTTTCCAGTCTGGCCCCTCTGAGGTTTGGCCTTGGGCTGAACTCCATGGGGATTGCTCGATTGAGCGGCCTTGATCTCCTCCGTCGCACTGTTGAGCGACACCTTCATTCCAGTGAGCTCGCATCTCTCGATCTTCTTCTCCACGTAGTAGAGGAACATGCGGTGATCGTACTTCTGACTCTGGGCATAGTGCTGAGTGAACCAGAGGACCCACTTCTGCTCCCGAGTCCACATGTGGAGGTAAGATTTCCCCACATGAGTCTTCCCGAAATTGATCTTGCTGGTCTCCAGTTGATCCATCGACAGATGGCTGAAATCGAACACGGCGGCGGTCTCTGGCTGTTGAACCTTTTGCAAGCGTCGGGCAAGGTTCGCCATGGCACTGTCGCGGCAAAACTTGGAAACTCTTGGGGATCGACTTGGACCTGAGAGATCTCTGACGATTCGGCTTCTGTGGAACGACAGGTCTTGTCACTGAGACTTCATGATAATCGATCACAGGTGGCTTCCCAACTGCAGAAGCTTCGGATTCAACTGAAGTGCATTCTTCAAGTGGCTGGTTATTGGGGTTTATGATTTGATCACGGTATTTGGTGGTTACAGTTTTGGATTTGAGAACTGGTGATTCATGGCAAATGGTATTTGGCTTGGCGGTGGCTGCACTTTCGATTTTCTGGTGTTCGGCACGGATGTCTGCATCGTCACATGCGGTTGCATGGGTTTCTGCAAGCTTGGAAAAGTTCGTTGACCCCGATGCCGGCTGTGCGAGGTCATTCAAATCCAAAAGAAACAAACCCTTGCTGGTGAGATTCAGAGGAAAACTCTTGGAAATCTTGGTAGCATGCAACACATGTTTGGTGGTGTCAATTGTGGCTCCCAACGCTCTCAGCAAGGTGTTTGATAGGAGAAACGGAGTGGCTCCAGGCACCACAGCAATCTTGAGCAAAAGTCCATGGATAGGCACCACAATGGCCTGTTGGCTCTGTAAAATACCATGATTTCCAAAACGAAACGTGACGTTGCAAGGACATCTTGACACCGATTTTCTTATAATAGGATCTAACCCATTCAGCAGTTCTGGCACTAATTTACTACCAATTACATCCAATTACTGTCTTGGTAGCCCCCAGGTCCACAATGCCTAGACTTCCATGGGATGCAAAGCATGCGACGTCTACGCTGGGCAAATCAGTGTCCTTGGAGTTTGGCACTGCGGAACAGGCTGCAAGACGATTCTTGAGGCGTCTTCGAGCATCACGATCGTCACGATCATCAGTCCTGAAAGGTTTCACACGGTTTTGGGGAACACCCTGCCATCGGTGCAGTGTTTGTTTCAATTGAGCTTTGGCATCAAACACACTAGAGGCATGTTCGGATTGTGAAACCGTTGTCAATACCATACTGTTATCATGCTGAGGGGCATCCAAAGTGAGTTCTTGGTGCATTGGAAGGTTCACAAACTCCATGGGCAGTACATCGTCACTATCATTGCCAGATGAAACTACCTGGGCCATGGTCGTTGGTACCTGAGCAGGTCGATTGGCAGCACCTGAGTTGTCTCGGCGATTGGGACACTCTGCTTTCCAGTGTCCGACCTGATTGCATAAACGGCACCGGGACTCCAAGATTCTCTGCTGAAGTGACTTGCGAGAGGATGCATGGCCCTTGGAAAATTTTCCTTTGGGACCCTTCCAGCTACCTTTGGATTTGCCCTTCTGGTTGATGGGCCAAAATCCACGAGATCGCACCTTTTCGTTCAAGCGCCTCCTGGCGTCAGTGTAGGCTGTAAAAGCCGATGCTAGCTCCTCATCATTCTGAAGAACCTCGGTTGCAGCTGCTTCAAAGTCCATCACCAGAGTTGCATCATCATCACCCTCTTGGGCAAGGGTTTCCATGGCTTGATCTTCATCTTCCAGTGAGTCAGCTGTCATGGCGTATTGATCAGTCTCCGTATCATCGACATCTTCAGTTACCAGAGTGCTCTGATCATACGTTTTCAACTTCGTGGCACGTTTACCAGCTGTCATCTCCTGAAAGAAAGAAGCCCCAAGCATTCGGATGGCGGCACCAACCCTTTTAACAGTCAATTCACCGTTGTCTGCAACATCTGCATCTACTAACACTCGTTTCTTGTCCTCGGCCGACAACATCGAGCCTCGAAGCGTCACGTACGCCTGGAGGTCACTGAGCTGAAACTTCTTGCTGTTCAACTCAGTCCACATTATGTCAGCACGAGCAAGATAGGAATCTGCACTTTCGTCTCCCTTCTGCACACACTTGTAAAGGGCACGTTCGGCAAACTCGTACCTTTTTCCAGGTCGATCTGTCCCCAATGTCCACCAAGCAATTCTACGATCCTCTGAATGGACTTGCGGTCATTGACGACCAACTCCGATTGGTGCAGCTGAAGCTTCTTAAAAGCAGAGCCTGTGCAATTCAGAATTAGTCTTGTAGCAAGTTCTGTGTATTTTCCAGGGGGCCAAGCTTCGAGAATCAACGCCACTTTCTGTTGATACACATTCAGATCATCTTTGCTAGGGTCAAACGTCGGGACCAAGGTTGCCAGCTGGTTGCTAACATTACCTGATACACCTTCTGTTCCATCAGAGGCTTCGGCCATAGGAACCGCAGTTTCCTCCTCCACCTCCCTGGATACTTCCGTCTTTCTTTTGGTAACGGAGCTCCGCTACCAGTGTGATTGGTAGGGGACCAATCTACACTGGCAGCCCTTCCACCTCCAACAAGCGCAGCGTCACACCTTTTGTGACCGCACCTGCAAAAGTCTCAGGTTCCTGCAGCGATATCGGATTGCAGCAAGGCCTCCCAGGCCAATATGGTTTGCGAGCCCCTGGCTCCAAGCTGTTAAACAAACAAGCAGCACGGACGTCCACGTCCAAAACCAAATGGCAGAAGCACAACAATCCCGCCCTCCCACTCCAGGGCTATCCTGAGCCTAGGTGCTAAGGTCAAGGTAAACATGGTCTTTGGTGGAACGTCTGTTGGTGCAAACGGAGGTCCAACGGATTCATGTGGAGGTTGCAACGATATGGATTCACAATACATATATATATATATGTATATATGTACATACATGCTTTGCTGCAAAATCCAGCATTTAGATCGTTGATTTCTCCATCCAAATCTCTGGTTTTGGGAATTTTCCCAGCGGCCGCTTGGGCCGCTTGGGCCGCTTGGGCAACTTGACGCGGCCAAGACACCCATGAGATTTCCCAGGATATTGTGGAAGAGTTCTGGCCCCTTCCATCCATCCTGGATGAAGGGCGAAATATCCATGATCAAATCTGGGAGCTACAGATGGGGATAACGAATTAATGATCATCAATAGATGATACTACATGATTGATGATCACTTGATCTTAAATATCTGTGTTAAATATAGCTAAATTACGGTAGACCTAAAACCAACAAAGAGGAACATGTTTGTGTTATTCTGTTGCATATATGATAAATATATGATGTGTTACATACGTGTGTATACACATATCAACCATTCCTCATAATCCGGACAATATTGGATCTTGGACATTAGATCACTCAGACCAGGAAAATTTGAATGTTCGGCGTAGGTTTGACCACGGTATACCCAAAATTATGGCCATCAAATAACAGTGTTTTCCCAACATGTCTGGACGAACCCGTATTTCATGTACCATCCGGTTATTTAACAGTTCGCCATGGAAAATCCCAACCATAAATGGAGGTTTATAGCTGGGAAAGTCATCTTTCTTTCTATGGGCCATCGACAAACCATGGCTATGTAACAAATTGGTGCATTGCCAACCGATGCCATTTCTACTTACCACCAGTCCAATGATGACTTGTTGCCATGACTTGATGGTTGGCATTCACTAGTCACTTCACTGAGTAGGTCATATCAAACCGGAAAACTACTGGTTTTCCCATGCAAAAATATAGGTGAACCAGTCCCACATGCTAACCTGCTAAGTGGGATGATAGCATAGATATTGAAAATCCAAGTGTATCCTTGCAAACCCTGAAAATATTCTATGGTTATTTATACTTCTACATATATAGGGGTTCCATATTATGCGGGTTCCATATCATGTATGCCAATTTAAAACTATAATCTAAATATAGTATATCTATATGCCTCTATATATATATATCATAATCCATTGTAAAGGAATAAACAAAACAACTTTTTGTGGCAAATCCTAGCATAGACGTGGAAAATCCACTCATTATGTGTAGATCATCTCCGAAACCCCGACGGAAAAATCATACTGTGGGTTACAAAATCCTGCACCTTGGTTGAAACCCAACCAAAATCATGGGATGTTTAGCATCAACTGGTGCATCTCTATATTTCTCATGGTTCTGGGTCAATTATCTGGGAGTTTTCCCATTAATAATGGTGATTTTCCATCGTTTTTTGTATGTTTACCAGAGGGTAAACCATATGATTTATGTTTAATCCCAAGATTTCACTAACCTGAAACTTGCGGTCATTTTGGGGATAGTCACCCCTAACCATCATTCCCAGTGAGGGAGAACAGTGAGGTCGTTTATCATTAGTACCATATTTTCATATCACCAAATTTATATACAAACGTATGGCTAATCAATGATCCCCAATATGATCTTAATGGGATGATTTTAAGATCATAAATATTCATAAATAATTTCCCGTAATTTCCCATTATATTATGTTTATGGAATTAATATTCCCATATCAATGGGAATTTCAGGATCCTAAATTGGAGGTACCTACCATATATTTTTGGCCTATTTTTCAGGCCTAAATTTCAGGGAATATCCCACAAGATATGGCCAAACATATGGTACAGTACCTCTATTTTAGGATCCTGAAATTCCCATATTTCTCATGGTTTAATCCCAAGATTTCTCCTCCGATCTCGCTCTCGCTCCTCCGAGTTGATCCGTCGGTTGCCATAGTTGGAGCCTGCCCAACCGACGCATGGCATCACTGCCGTGTAGCCCGCCTCGCGAGCAAAAATTCGTGTGGATATAACCAATATGGATGAGGATGTCTATACATATCTACATATACATACATATACATATATATATATTTATTTATTTATTTATATATGTATGTATAAATATAACATCATATTATATATAATATATAATATTATATTATATATAATATATAATATTATATTATATATAATATATAATATTATATATATATTATTATATATATAATATTAAATATAGAATATTAGATTATATATATATATATAGAGTAACCATTAAGACATCCATTTAGTTCGGGGGATTTATCAAACATGGCCTGCTGGAAAAACAAACATAGGCTGAAAAATACAGAAACCTCTTTCATGACTTGGATGAGTATCTATAGTTATTCTATGGTCGTTTATACTACTGTCTTTATATATTATGGTTATATGATATTCATTATTCTATGAGTATCTATATATATATATACCTAGGGCAAGCATGAAAAATTGGAGGTTATCCCAGCCAAACAAACTTCCAATTATAAGGCTTTTTCTAGTCGTCCTGGAGTAGATAGAATATGGAAAAATCCGGAAATCTTCACTAAAATGGGAAATATTCTAAATTATCTACTTCAGGATGATTAAACATATTAAACATAGAGCAAGAAGTGTTAAGCAAGATGTGTCTCTAAAATAGTGATAAATCTGTTCCTTTTCCATCTTAACTGGTCTTACTATAGATAGACATGTATTTATACGTATATATAACATTTTATAACCATGCATATATGTGATCGTAGCTACAGTTGGGTTAAAGTGATAACTATAGTTGGGTCATAAATTGTCACAAGCTATCAAAACATAGTTTAGTCATATGGATGAAATAGATTGAAATATATAGCTAGTTCTGTTTTTACACTTAGTAAGTTCTATTTTCAAAAATAAAAACTCTTCGCAAATCCCCCGAATCCCCGTGGGGTTAAACAACCACTGCTGGCTTCTATGGTTAAACAACCACTGTTTTTTCCTCCAGCTCCAGGAGTCTCGGGGGATCGCCAATATTAACCATCATTAACCACTACTATTAACCATGATTCACCATTAACCATAGTTAATTATTGGAATGATAATTGTGAATAGTGGTTAATAATATGGTTAATAATATTATTGTTAATAAGTTTTAATAATATTATTGTTAATAATATGGACCACCATTAATAATTGTTAATAATTGCTATCTATGGTTAATAGTGGTTAACAATGATTAATATGGTTAATAGTGGTTAATAATTGGAATAATTTCACTATTGACTATCGTTAACTATCATTGACTATCGTTAATTGTGATAGGGGATAATAGTAGGATAATCATGGTATAACAATGGGATAATCATGGGATATCTAACTAATGAGGGTCAAACAACAATAAATCACCCATGACTGGGAATGGTTCGTACCTATAAAAATGGCTGATGACTGGGAGATGGTTTATGAAATTGTTTTACCCACATTAATAATAATAGTAGCTATATGTTGATCATAGTATCCGTTATATCTATTTAAAATGGTGATCTTCCATAACACCTGTCACCCTCTGGAAATGTGTTATATAGCTATGGAAGCCATTGCCCATTTGTTTCGATGATTTAACGTGTTGTTTAACAGGGATGAGTTTCGATGTTCTTGGGATCGTGACATACCAACCGAGGGGTCCAACCGACGTCAGTGTTCACATTATCCCCACATAGTGTTCACATCCCAATGAAACACCCTGGGCTTCATGATCTTGAAATTGGCTACCTTAAAAAAAACCGATTGTTCAGAAGCTCGTCTTATCAGATATGCCCATCGGTCAACGAAGACTTTTTGGACAAACTCAATGAGTGTGAAAAACCACCCATTTTCGAAGGCAAATTCATCGATTGTGCATACTATATACCATCTGGTTATTTAACATAGCCATGGAAAATCCCTTATAAATGGAGGTTTTAATGGGAAAATCAGCTATAAATGGGCCATTTTCCATGGTATATATATATATATATATATCCTCTGGTAATCAAAAATGGCTGGAAAATCCCGTGTTTAGTTCGACGATTCTTCTAGCTATAAACCTGTGATTTTCCAATGGTTGGGGTGGGCATTTGACACAGGAGTCTCAACTGGTGCAACCCTATGGCATTGGGGGAAGCAGCTGTGGCACCAAAGGCTACTCCTATAGGTACAACTCCCAACTGATTGGTGGGAAATGTGATGTTTCTCTGCAACAAGAATTGCCGCTGGTCAATCTACATCTACATTTTGATCTGCGTGTATGTATGTATGTACGTACGTACGTACGTACGTACGTATCTATATATCTATGTATCTATGTATCTATGTATCTATGTATCTATGTATGTATGTATCTATCTATTTATCTATCTATCTATCTATCTACCTACCTATCTACCTATATACATATACATCCCGGCGCCTGGTTTACCGCGCGTGTGTTTTGGCATTTTCTCAAGAGTCTTTATGATGGCCTTCATGTTTATCTCTTGGTATTTGCAGGACTTTTGAAGCAATCATCATCATGTTTGGTCACAAAATGTGGCTAATTCCATTGTGTTTTATTTTTTCATCATTTTTCGCTTGTATTTGCAGGCTTTTGTGAACGCCAGGAGTAGAAAGAGGCTGTTTCAGGATGCCTTGTTTTTTGATGGATTTGCGTTTCGCCACAGGGAGACAACAAAAAATTCGGACTTTTCGGTTTTCTCTGGCGCAGCACTTTCACTGCATGTTCGCTCGAAGAGTCTCGGCGTGTGCAAGTGCAAGAGACGAGGTCGGTAGATGTCGGTAGCGTAGCATCACGTATGTGTGCAAGTGCAAGAGAAGAGACCGGTGGCGTAGCATCACGTATGTGTGCTAGTGCCATTGAACGTTATTAGCCCACCCCACCCCACCCCACCCCAACCCATCTGTAGCGTAGCATCAGGTATGTGTGCAAGTGCAAGAGACGAGGTCGGTAGCGTAGCATCAGGTATGTGTGCAAGTGCAAGAGACGAGGTCGGTAGCCTAGCATCAGGTATGTGTGCAAGTGCAAGAGACGAGGTCGGTAGCGTAGCATCAGGTATGTGTGCAAGTGCACGAGACGAGGTCGGTAGCGTAGCATCAGGTATGTGTGCAAGTGCAAGAGACGAGACCGGTAGCGTAGCATCAAGTATGTGTGCTAGTGCCATTGAACGTTATTAGCCCACCCCACCCCACCCCAACCCACCCCACCCCATCGGCCAAAAAAACACAAAAACGCACGTACGGTAAACCAGCCGCCAGCATATACATGTATGTCTGGATATCCATCTCTCTCTATAAGCATCTGAATATAAAACATCATCTCCCTTATAATTCGACCCGGAACCCTGGTACCGCCAGTTTACTAAAAAGTAATATTTATAAAATGATGCCCCTTCTTAAAAAATTGCAATTCCAATATACCATCCTTATAAATTGGCAATTCTTTAAGGTTATAAAATGGCAATTCTGGTGTAGCGTTCAGCCAAACCGGAACCTTATATTATGGCATTTGTTTCTTGCTTACATCGCATCCAAAAGGGAGAACGCTCTGGGTACCTGATAATACCCGGGTTCCGGTGGCTTATAAGGGATATTAGGAGGGGGATGAAACATCCATATATATATATATAGATATATAGTAACCCCCAACAATATAGAAAAGCTACTCTTCGCTGTGCTGAAATTGACTTAGCTCTATCCTGACTTCGTGGTTGCTTTTTTAGTGTATGTGTGTATGTATATATATATATATATCAATATGTTTCTGCTTTTTTACACATCCCGATGGCCCTATCAGTTACAGCCCCCTCGCCCATGGCCGAACCTGCAAGGCGGCTGGGCAAGGGGCAGCGATGTGGTTCAAGATCACATCCACCATGATCTGCGGGGACTTTTGAGCGCAACAATCATGGGAATGTGATAGGTATATAATGTGGTGTATATATATATATGTATACACACATAGCCAACTCAACATGTTTTTTTAAATATATATATATATATACAAAGATGGTTTCTTATGTGTTTCTAATTGATATATGGTTTCTTATGTGTTTCTAATTGTTTTTGGTGATCAAGTTACATGGAATGTTAAGCCCAACAATACTGGTGTTTTTTCGCAACAATCATGGGAATCTCATGTTTTTTTTAATTAAATGGGTAAATTATATTAACACGATGATATACATATCTATGGTTTGGTCAAGTTCATTGGATTCACAGAAAATCTGGGCTTCTTCTTGGGATCGTGTTTTGGAGAATTGCAAACCACTGTAAACCACTCAAAAAAGTCACTACCAGATATTGCCCAGATATTGTATGGTTTACATTGGTTATCATTGGTGCTAAATCCATCGGAATCCATTGCGATCTCGTTACCGCTCAAAAAGTCCAATGATTTCCCCTTCTGGTTGAAAAAACCAAGATGGATTCCATTCGAAAGGGACAGAAGGGAACATGTACTAGGGAAAGCTAATTTTGGGTATGTGTCCCTAGTAAAACAGTACTATTTTGGGGAAATCCCTAGTAAAATCCCTAGAATCTAACCCCCTAGGGTTGTTCATCTGAATGGTTCTGCCAATTCTGGGTCTGACTAAAATCTACAGGGAAGGTACTGTAGAATCTACCATAGAATGATGTAGAAACCCTGTAAGGGAACCACTATAATGTATGAACTGCATACGTACATCAACACATACACACAAGAGATACATATCTGTCATATCTGTATCCTCTGAAAAATTGGGAAACAAAGGTTGGTTAGGTGATCTTGAACGTTTTCGCATTAGTGATTGGCGTTTTTGCATGGTGATTCGCAGTGGAAAAACGGTTTGTCTGTCCACTGGGAGTCTGAATTAAAAAAAATCCTGGGATTCTCTTGGGATTCAATATAGGGGCATCAAAATATAGCCACGGAAGCCATGGCCCATAGAAATATATAGATGGCTTACCTATCAAAAATGTTTTTTTTTCCATGGCGAACTGTTTTTCTCATAACCAGAGGGTATATCAAAAATCACGAGTTATATGGCTTGTAACGTGTTGGAACATGTTGTAACATGAGCGATATCATTGATCAATGATGGTGAAACACCCCCCAGTCAGTTCGAAAAAAAAATGGACCCAAATCCCAAATCATCAATAAATGGATCATGTTCATCCATTTTCCACAGCCATGTAACAAATTTCCAGAGGGTGGCATTTTTGTTTAAAGATCAGCATTTTGAATAGATATAACAGGTACTATTACTTTTAACAGTAGCTATTCATCGGTAATTCCAGGGTAGCTATGGGTAGCTGAGCTCAGCGTAGCGCCGCAGCCTTTTTTGTCTTCGCCGAAAGTTCAGGCGATCAGTGCGTTGATCCCTAATGGATCAGCAGGGAAGATTTCTGCTGCGCGGGGCAAATGTTTGTTCCATCTGGTCGGCGAAGAAGGGATGTTAAACGCATTAAAATAAAAAAGTCTCCTGTAAATCTTCTATCAAATAAATTCGGGGAACTTTCTTATTATATATATATATACTCTAGGTTAAATAAACTTAGCCCTAGAAAACGAATATGTGCAAAACAAAGTCATGTTAGGATAACTTGGTTTTTGAAGCATTTTGAAGCATTTTGACACAGGTCTATGTTAATATTCTTAATTACAACGAAATCTTAGACAAAACCTCTAAAAGTCTTCATTGACAGCATTTACAACAAACATCTCAAAAACCTATGTTAGGATACCTTTTTGAACCAACCACCACACATGTGCTATGTTAGTACACCAAAGTTCCGTGCAGAACAAAGTCATGTTAGGATAATTTGGTTTTTGAAGCATTTTGACGCAGGTCTATGTTAATTGCCTGATTCTCCAACGGAATCTGAGACAAAATTTCTAAAGGTCTTCATTGCTATGTTAGTTTATAAATGGGCCATTTTCCACAAATCCATGGATTTACCCTCTGGTATATTAACATAGACCCTGGCAGACAGGGGTTGGAAGATTCATGTCCATTAAAAAATAGTGATTTTCAGGGTCTAGGTTAGTTTACTAGGGGGTACCAGTTATGACTTAGCCATGGAAAATCCCTTATAAATGGAAGTTTTAATGGGAAAATCATCTATAAATGGGCCATTTTCCACAAATCCATGGATTTACCCTCTGGTATATTAACATAGACCCTGGCAGACAGGGGTTGGAAGATTCATGTCCTTAAAAAATAGTGATTTTCAGTCTATGTTAGTTTACTAGGGGGTACCATCTGGTTATGACTAACATAGCCATGGAAAATCCCTTATAAACGGAGTTTTAATGGGAAAATCATCTATAAATGGGCAATTTTCCACAAATCCATGGATTTACCCTCTGGTATATTAACATAGACCCTGGCAGACAGGGGTTGGAAGATTCATGTCCATTAAAAAATAGTGATTTTCATCTATGTTAGTTTACTAGGGGGTACCATCTGGTTATGACTAACATAGCCATGGAAAATCCCTTATAAATGGAGGTTTTAATGGGAAAATCATCTATAAATGGGCATTTTCCACAAATCCATGGATTTACCCTCTGGTATATTAACATAGACCCTGGCAGACAGGGGTTGGAAGATTCATGTCCATTAAAAAATAGTGATTTTCAGGGTCTATGTTAGTTTACTAGGGGGGTACCATCTGGTTATGACTAACATAGCCATGGAAAATCCCTTATAAATGGAGGTTTTAATGGGAAAATCATCTATAAATGGGCCATTTTCCACAAATCCATGGATTTACCCTCTGGTATATTAACATAGACCCTGGCAGACAGGGGTTGGAAGATTCATGTCCATTAAAAAAATATTGATTTCCAGGGTCTATGTTAGTTTACTAGGGGGGTACCATCTCGTTATGACTAACATAGCCATGGAAAATCCCTTATAAATGGAGGTTTTAATGGGAAAATCATCTATAAATGTGCCATTTTCCACAAATCCATGGATTGACCCTCTGGTATATTAACATAGACCCTGGCAGACAGGTGCTGGAAGATTCATGTCCTTTAAAAATAGTGATTTTCAGGGTCTATGTTAGTTTACTAGGGGGTACCATCTGGTTATGACCAACATAGCCATGGAAAAGCCCTTATAAATGGAGGTTTTAATGGGAACATCATCTATAAATGGGCAATTTTCCACAAATCCATGGATTTACCCTCTGGTATATTAACATAGACCCTGGCAGACAGGGGTTGGAAGATTCATGTCTTTCAGGGTCTATGTTAGTTTACTAGGGGGGTACCATCTGGTTATGGCTAACATAGCCATGGAAAAACTCTTATAAATGGAGGTTTTAATGGGAAAATCATCTATAAATGTGCCATTTTCCACAAATCCATGGATTTACCCTCTGGTATATTAACATAGACCCTGGCAGACAGGGGTTGGAAGATTCATGTCCATTAAACAATAGTGATTTTCAGGGTCTATGTTAGTTTACTAGGGGGTACCATCTGGTTATGGGTTTAATGGGAAAATCATCTATAAATGTGCCATTTTCCACAAATCCATGGATTTACCCTCTGGTATATCAACATAGACCCTGGCAGACAGGGGTTGGAAGATTCATGTCCATTAAAAAATAGTGATTTTCAGGGTCTATGTTGGTTTGCTAGGGGGTGCCATCTGGTTATGACTAACATAGCCATGGAAAATCCCTTATAAATCGAGGTTTTAATGTGAAAATCATCTATAAATGGGCAATTTTCCACAAATCCATGGATTGACCGTACCATCTGGTTATGACCAACATAGCCATGGAAAAGCCCTTATAAATGGAGGTTTTAATGGGAAAATCATCTATAAATGTGCCATTTTCCACAAATCCATGGATTTACCCTCTGGTATATTAACATAGACCCTGGCAGACAGGGGTTGGAAGATTCATTTCCATTAAAAAATAGTGATTTTCAGGGTCTATGTTAGTTTACTAGGGGGTACCATCTGGTTATGACTAACATAGCCATGGAAAATCCCTTATAAATGGAGGTTTTAATGGGAAAATCATCTATAAATGGACCATTTTCCACAAATCCATCGATTTACCCTCTGGTATATTAACATAGACCCTGGCAGACAGGGGTTGGAAGATTCATTCATGTCCATTAAACAATAGTGATTTTCAGGGTCTATGTTAGTTTACTAGGGGGGTACCATCTGGTTATGACTAACATAGCCATGGAAAATCCCTTATAAATGGAAGTTTTAATGGGCAAATCATCTATAAATGGGCCATTTTCAAAAAAATCCATGGATTTACCCTCTGGTATATTAACATAGACCCTGGCAGACAGGGGTTGGAAGATTCATGTCCATTAAAAAATAGTGATTTTCAGGGCCTATGTTAGTTTACTAGGGGGTACCATCTGGTTATGGCTAACATAGCCATGGAAAATCCCTTATAAATGGAAGTTTTAATGGGAAAATCATCTATAAATGTGCCATTTTCCGCAAATCCATGGATTTACCTTCTGGTATATTAACATAGACCCTGGCAGACAGGGGTTGGAAGATTCATGTCCATTAAAAAATAGTGATTTTCAGGGTCTATGTTAGTTTACTAGGGGGTACCATCTGGTTATGACTAACATAGCCATGGAAAATCCCTTATAAATGGAGGTTTTATGGGAAAATCATCTATAAAAGGGCCATTTTCCACAAGTCCATGGATTTACCGTACTAGATCTTTGTTTGCAACTCCAAATTGCTTTGACCATGGTTAAGTGTGTAGAAGCATGTGAAGCACAAGAATTGTTAGAAGCTAAGACGTCACTGGTGATGGAAGTATACTAACATAGACTTAATTGAAATTTGCTGTGAAACCTTGCACAATGCCAAATGCTCCCAAACATCAGGTATGAAT